TACCAAGTGGCAGAGTCAAGAATTTAAACGATCTACAGTCCAAATTTCATAACCTCATGTGGAATGCACTTGGCTGGTCGTCTGTCTCTCTTTTTCTCCCTGGCAGCCCTGTGGCTATGCCCATCATCATTTGACCACACAGGAGTCTTCTAGTTGGACAGCAAGACTTTACCAGTAAGAGACATGCTTCTCACAGCCTTAACAGGCTAAGACCGATTAAACTAAGCCGTCAAAACTTTGCAGGCTGCAAGTACTTTTCAGATCACTGGGCTTTATAAAATAAATTAAGTGTGAAAGGTGAATTTGGACACTTTTATTTATTTCATAATGCTATAAAAGTAGAGATGTAGGTTATTCAAATGCTGTGGATTCTGGTATATTTGTGAATTATGGAATCCACTGTAGAATTTTCTCCTAAAATATTCAGTCCAGTGTAGTATTTTTATAGGCTTAATGCCAGAAATTGTAGTACACACAGTAAATTAATAAAACCCATTTCTGACATCATTTTTCTAACATGTTTCGATAGCTAAAGTTTTTATTTTAGTTTTATTGGCTTCCTTTCTTCATAGTCTCATTTTCATTATTCCTTGGAGATTTGCCTATTGTAAATTAAACTTGAACTCTGGGTAACTGATAATTGTTGAGGTGACAGTTTCCAGTAACTGGGTTCTGCTGGGAAACCAGAAATTCCTATGGCTTTTTAAAATAGGTTGACCCTGTGGCTTTGGAAAAATCTTAATTGAAGACAAGTATTTTAGTCTTCAACAAACAAAACAAAACAAAACAAAATAAAAAACAGATTAGCAGAAGTCCAGAACTGTAGGGTAAAATTGTAAATCAGTGGTGTATTATGGAACAAATCCGTAATACATTTTTAATAACCAGATTTGCTGTTAATTAAAAATTTCTCTGACCAAGTAGGCCAGGCTTGACTTGTCAACTTTGTATTATGGGAATTATAATATTCTGTTCAGAGAAAAAATGGTTTTTGAAACAAATGAAGGAAAAATTATGTAAATTTGCAAATAATAATAAGGACTGGTTTTTAATTGTTTGAAGTTTAATTTTATTAAATATACTCTCAGATTACTATTGCCTTTATGAATATGCTTGTATAACTAAGCATGGGTCCAGAATTATGAGAAATTTTTTTCATTCTCTAGGAATAATGCAGTATATAAATGGTATATGTATTAAGTCTACTTTATTTTGCCTGGAAAAGTTTGTTCAATTCCATTAAAAAAGTCTGCATAATATAAAATGAAAAGATTAAGAATTTACCATGATATAAGTATAATGAAACTGCCCAAATTACAAAACACAAGATGACTGCCAGCCCAGTTTTGGTTCTGTTGTATTATAATGAACTGTTTTGTATGTCAGATGACAGTAAAACTTGTCTTAGATCCTTCTGGTAGGAAGCTGAGACCACTCATTTGGCTGTTCACTTTTTTTCGTTTAATAAATATTTGTTTCCATTTATGTGTAAGGCACTACAATAGATGCAGTAGATACAATAGGGCAATCTTGGAACTGTTTTAACCCAACCCAGTGTTTATTCAATACTACCTTCCTATGTTATTTCTGTTAAAGATCTGGGCTCCAACATTATGAAAAATATTTTTCAAAGCCTTCTATAACTATATATGTTTCATACATGACCCTCACAGAAGCAAACATTTTGAAACATTAGCCTATCTAAAATCATACAGATTAGTTGAGGAACATTTAGCAGATTTTCTAGGATCATTTCACTTAGAACAGAGAGTCTCCAGAATGCATTTGTTACATGAATCTAGTGTTGTGAGTATAAATGTACTACTAGGTCTGAGTAAAGGAATGTTTTCTCCACAAAAATTGACTTTGCCTTGATGTAGACGTAGTCTAAAGTAAGTAATTCGCTTAGTTGAAATTTTACATGAAATATATAGCTTGTGTGACTTCACATTAAATATTTCAAGATATTTTGTATGTCATTTTGTTTTTACGTAAGACCATGCAAATACACTAATAAAAACAGAACTCTAAAAATATACATCTTTAAGAAGGTAATTTACCTTGACTTTTAAATTGTGCATATTTCAAGGAATCACTTTATTTTTTCTTTCCCCCAAATTATAGCTAAACAAAAACTGTAAAGAAGTGGAAAACATCAGAAGAATGGGGAGATAGCAATCATCCCTGTGCATTTTGGCATCTGGAATTTTAGAGTTAGTTCATTCACTATTCCACAGGGTGGCAGTAATATAGTATGCAATAGAAGGAATACCAGCTACAATTCCAAGTGGAAAGTTAGTGTGCAAAAAATATTTTTTAAATTTCACCGATTTATTATGTACATGCACTATAAAATGTGTATTGCACATGCTTATGAAATCAATGATGTTAAAATTCTTATTACATAATTAGCCAAAATATGTGAAGCAAAGTCAAATTAAGCATAGGTATGGCATCTGGGATTGAAATAATTTTTATATTGATTTTTTTCATTGTCATATAAAGAATTAAAAATTTTGAGTGATTTATATTAAATTTTTTCTCAACTAAGTATATATTTATAAAATCATTTCAGAAAATTCTAAGATAGTCTATAAAATCGTTAAATATATACACGTGTTTTGCGTGCATGTATGTGTGTATATATATACACACTCACACCAAGAGACAAATAAGCATCTTAGATGTATTAGAAAGATTTTGTAAATAATTATAAAAAGAAGATTACATTTGTAATTCTTAAGATGCTAGTAACCATTAGGAGGAAAATTTCAGAAAAGTAGTGTCTTTAAAAATGTCTACAGTAAGGCAAATAAAAATTGAGAAAAGAGGTACAAATTATACATTTATAATATGGGAATGATTCAGTCACTTAATGTAGCTACCAGTGTTCAAATAGGCCAGGACCTATGTGAAAAATGAATGAAGGGAGAGGCAAAAAAAATTAGTGTATTTAAAAAATGTATAAAATTATAATTAATTGTGACAGACTGTGCACTTCCACAGCCAGCACTGATCCTGAGTTCCTTCACATGGACAACCTCTGAGGGCTCCATGTAGGCAAACCATGGGGGTTAGGCAAAACTTTTGTAGTAAAACAAATAAAGCAATAAGCTTTTTTGACTAGTGTGTTTTTTGGCTAAGTGTTTATTTGGACTGTTTGATGAATAACATTGGTCAAAATAATCACACTGTGTGTGTCTAAGTGTAGCCTCTCTGTTGTTAAAAATGCCTGCCTTCCAGAGACATAGATATAATAATTCACTTAGTCTTATTTATTTCTTTTTACTGAGAAGTACTTTGTGGAAAATATTTTACTAGGACACTGTTGTGGTAACAGGAACAACTAGACAAAGCAGTGCTTTAAATTGAAAATTTGAGACATGTTTTCAAATGTTAATTATGATGAAATTCCCAAGTGCTTTCTGGAGCATCTGGATTGTTTCCCTGCCCTGAATTCACATGACAATTGTTTAAGGTATGGCAGTTAAATTGAATTATCAGTAGGGTGGCCAACCTGTTTATAAAAATATTCTGTTTAGGAATAAGTTCAACTAGGTAAGCAGTAACACTACATTTAAATATATAGATAGCCCCAAAAATGACCCAACTGAAGAATTTAAGAAAATGAAACTTTTGCATTTTGAGCAATTGAGAGAGAGCGAGAGAAAAGAGAGGTAGGTAGGTGTCACCAACTTCTACTATTAACCTAGAACCAGCCATTTGTCCTTATAGCTTGAGGTGATTAAAACTCAGAGGTGTCCACTAAGTGGCTTCTTGCATAACTAGCTAAGGCAAACCTAGACAGCGTAAAAGTAGCTCACATAAAAATTGACAAGTGAAACAGCAACATCCCCACTGTACATTTTAGGGCAGGGATTGTTATGACGTGATTTCTGTGTGGGCAAGCTCAGTGAAAGAACGGAGAACAGATGTGAAATCTCCTTTGAGATTTGTGCTCTGCAATCATGTGCAAAAGATGAAACAGACGCAACAATTAGAAAATGTCAATTCAAACAGTCAATCGACATGAATTAGGGAAAAGCTCTTAACGTAGTTCAAACCAAAACATGAATTCATGGAAAAGTGATTTGTCTGCACGTTTATCTTTAAAAAAGAGCTAAAATGTTGAACTTAGAGTATTGCTTTACCTAGATTACTAAATTACTAAATTGATATAAATCAATGCATGTTAAATAGCCATTTTATTAAATATTTGTTGACATCATTGAATTTATCCTCTATACTTTTATACTATTATTTAAATTCAATGGCTTCCAATAAATATATAAATTGCTACAATTTAAAAACTATCTCAATAGAATTTTTAAATATCTACATATTTTATAGCATGTTAGAAACAGTCAATATTTTGATTCTCTTTAAAAAATCTAGGAGCTTAAAATATTTGTCTATGTATGCCAGTCATCTTTTATAGAAAATAATATAACTAACATAGTCATACATATGCATCCTAAGTATTTCCATAGTGTGTAAGTAGTGAAACTATTGCTAAGCTTAATTGCCTTAAGCAACTAAAAGTATAATGACCTCCTTTCTGTATACATTTTTATAACCACATACCTATGAAATTGGGAAATTGTCTCTTTTGCAGTGACTAGATATGTGGATAACAGGTGTTAACCAGGTGAGACAGGTGAAGCTGGGTTGGACCTGAAAGATGCCATTTCTACTAAATGAAACCTTAGTCATGATACCACCACAGGATCAGGATATGGTGCAGGGCACCCAAGTACTAATTGAAGTTTAGTAACTGTAGTTATGTAGTAACTGTAGTATATATAGTATCCTCTATGTTTAGAGTAGATTACATGGTTTCCCTCTGGTGCCTTCCTGAATGTTTTACTGGCCTCGATATTTCTTTTCATATAAGTCAACGGAAAAACATGCTTTTATTTATTTTTTACTTCAGCTATTTTGTTTTGCCATTCAATTAAATCGTATGCAGACTAACAGATGCCTGTTTTTCAATTCACCAGGTACGCGTATTCACTTTTTCAGTTGGTCAACATAATTATGACAGAGGACCTATTCAGTGGATGGCCTGTGAAAATAAAGGTAACAGATCTGTTTTCTTGGCCACATTTTATTAGAAGAAAAATAATTTGGAGTTGTTGTTAGTTCCACGTATTATCATTTAAAATAGTCTAAAGTATTAGCTAGTTTTTATAGGAATTGAGGCAAGAATAAGATGCTGAACATGTTTTCTATAGAGAAAACACACACAACAAAACAAACTTTGACAAGTGTTACATTATAAAAATTCAGACATCTGATCATATTGTATATTCATAAAGGGATATATTTTATTGAGAGATACTTAATGATGCTTATCAAATATAGCCTTACATGAAAAAATTAAGAATGAAAAAATACCTGAATTATGTAAAACTTAGATATAAAAAACTGTGACATACATGTATATTTTTTCTCTGAGTGGTTAAATTATTGTTTTTTTTAAATGTCTTCATGTACATTCCTAGGTGATTCATATTTTGTGTAGTGAACCCATATTTCCTTTGTACTTAGAAAAACCAAGTTGTTATTTGAAAAATAAACAGTGATCACACAGCAATAAAAAGAACCTAAATTTATTCTCAAAGTTATATTTAGGCAAACATTTTATATAAATATAATAATTATCAGATACCCATTATCATGCATCTTTAGTAATTTCTCCAATGAAAAAAAGATTTTTAATGACCCCACATTCCCTACTGCTTTGTAGAAAATAATATTTATTTTATACAATCTAAGAAATGTAGCAAAATTTCTCATAAAGCCTGTGCATTTGTTATGAATAATCAAACATTTTCCAAATTTATCAGTGGTGTTGGTATTTCAGTGTTTACTCAATTAAAGTGAAAAACTGCTCTTTTCTTGTACAAAGCCATAAAATAATTTTGTGGCCTTTTATTATAATATAAATATGTATATATATATATGTTTCAGGTTATTATTATGAAATTCCTTCTATTGGAGCAATAAGAATCAATACTCAGGTATGGTTATTTAAAACTTGTTTACATTATTTTTTAAAAACCTAACATATTTCTTTTCTGCTTTAAATATGTTCAATATGGAGAAAATAGATAAAAATGAAAAAATCCATAATATTATATTTGTAACAAAATGATGAGTATCATGGTAATGTATTGGTTTTTATTTCATTAATGTTCCAAGTGTTTTCAAACATCCAAAACTCAAGTAAAAAAGCAAATGAGTATATTGTTCTTCTCAGATGTTAGAAATGTCATACAAAATAAATAAAATAAAGTTTACTAATAATCCCATCTCATGTAATTTGAACTTTGTTCTATTGCAAATCATTTAAATGAGTTTCTTCAGGTTGTAGCTACCACATAGAAAATTAAACAATAATTATTTTGGACAAATAGAGGGTCCTAGTCATAATTTAGATACCTTCCAAATAACCTCTCTAGATGTATTTAAATAAAAAGTAAGTTTATTTAAAATAAACTTATAACAGGGAGATGATTTTTCTACAACCATTCAGTTGAAAACATGCCTGTTAAATAACTTTGTAGACTGAAGCAATTAATTTCATCTAAATATATATTATTTTTAAATATTCATAAATTACAATTTAAAATCATTACTCAAGTTTAGACATAACCGAGGATCCACAAAATAGACCAAGTCAAAATTTAGCATAAATAAAATGGCATTTGTGGAAACGAATACTGAATACGTTTTAATGTTGAAATGAAGCAGCAGCTGTATTTGAGTCTGATGTCTAGGTTTGGCACAGTATTTCATTTATTTTTTGATATTTTTAAATGTAGTTTTGAATTTCAGCCAAACAATCTGTGATATGAAAGCAAGTATGTGGCTGCTTTATTATTTCAAATTTGTGTGGTTCCATCCAGTAAATCACAAAGCTTTAAATAGTTTAGATGAACATAAAACAATTCACAAGGAACGTATTTCACTTATCATTGGCTGTACCTCAAAAAGAGAATGTTTTGATTGTTACTAGAAAAAAACTGAGGTAGATATATTGTATAAGTAAGTCAAATATGGTTGATTCAAAGTACGTAGACATACCATTTATGGAATACCCACAGTAGGAATTAAAGGATTATATACTTTTTTAATAATTTTGATTCCATATTCATTTTTAACTCTAGATAATTTTTCTTCTGTGGAGATGATTTTTTTTAACACAGCATTTCTAGTTTTCAACCACTTTTTTTTTTTTTTTTTTAATAAATAGGAATATTTGGATGTTCTGGGACGACCAATGGTTTTAGCAGGAGACAAAGCTAAGCAAGTCCAATGGACAAATGTGTACCTGGATGCACTGGTAAGATACTGGCTGTTCAACCAAAGACTGTATAACAAAAGCACACAGCTGAGTTCTACCTCGTTCTAGGTGACATTTCTCCTTTCCTCTTCATTAAACTCCTTCTAAAATTCCTTATATCACAAACTTCTTTGCTAGAATTAGGTAATTTACATAAAAACCTAGACTTGTGTGTAGTTGAGAACCACAATATAAAGTATTATTTTATTTTCTAGTTGATCCATTGAGAACCTAGATTTCCAACCTAGAATCTTGAATTTATGGGCTTTTCAATAACTTTTTGAATTGTTATGTAAAAAAATGCTAAAAGTCAAGTGAAGTAGTTCCTGTTACTGCAGATTTTGAGCAAGAATTTTGAAGAAAATATTTTTAAAGTAGACTTCACCTAGCAGAAGCATGTATAGCCTCCACAACTCAAGCCAGACCCAACAAAACTCAGAAGTACATGCAGATAGGCCAAAAACTTACCCTACCCTGAAATCACCACAAACCTCATCACCTCTTCATATATAATCTCTTGCTTTAGATTCAACCCCAGATATTTATGGAAATAGGCCATGGAGGTGATCAAATCTGGTGCAAAATAACCAAAAGCATGTTAAGTTGTCCATTGCACAATTGAAATTTTAGTACAGGTATTCCTTCATATTTCAAAGTGGTAGTTCTCAACTGGGGGTGATTTTGTTCCTCACAAGTCATTTGGAAATATCTATAGATATTTTTGATTGCCATGACTGGGTTGGGGAAGGGTCGCTACTGGCATCTAATGGATAGAGGCCAGGGATGCTGCTAAACATCCTACAATGCACAAGACAGCCCCCTCCCCACAGACACACAACAAAGAATTATCCAGCCCAAAATATCAGTAGGGCCGAAGTTGAGAAATCTTGTTTTAATGTAAGTTATACCTTTCCGATATAAAAGTTATAGATAGTAATTATCATACTTTAGATTTATTCATATGCTTAATCTTAATGAGAAGACTTTATTAATGATTTTACTAATGTAATATATTGCAGAGAATCAAAATACTAAGTTCTGAAAAGTAAATGCTGATTCAGTAACCCCTTTTCCTACTTGGAAATTATATGTTCAATTAGATGCTGATACTACTTTTCTGAATGCAGTGATGAACCCAAAGGGCAAAATGCAATCCATTTAGAATTACTTATCATTTGGTTCTTGTAAAATAAACATATACAGGAAGTTAGAAGAAAAATAGACACTATTAGCAGCAGCCTTGCATGCTAAGAAAGATAAAGTGAAGCTTGCTTACCTCAAGCCCTAGCTAAAATTACTGTCCAGTGTTCCTTCTTGACATCACATATTTATTTAAGGTCACATGGTCATCTAAAGCTGTGGTCAAAATGTTTCACTTTTCCAAATCCGTCACAGGACAGAATATGATAGGAGGAGTCAATAATTATGCCCTGTTGTATTTCCTATGACCAGAAGTTCATTAACCAGCATGTCTGCATTGTTGGTAAGGTTCTTACTGATAGCACAAATGACATTAGGAAGAAATTTTGGTTCTAAATATGCTGTTCTATAAGCTGAAACTAAATGTAAAAAATGAAAAAAAATGAGGCGCATGAATTGGCTATTCAATGGACACGTGGAGTCTTCTTTTGTATTTCTAATTATTTATTTATAATCTCTGCACATAGCAGATTCAAATATATGCTGGTCAAATTAACAGTTATATTAAGAAGGAAAATATAAAAATATTCTAAGACAAAATGTAATAAATATGATGAGCAAAATGAAAAGAACTCTGGAAATTCAGAAGAAAGAAGCCATATGTTGGGAAATGGAGTAGGGTGAGGCTAAAGGGGTGGTGACATTTTATAAAGAGATGGTGACATTTTAGCTGAACATATGAGTCCAGGTAAGGTTTCAACAGTTGGTGATGAGAACTGAGACCACACAAAAGGAGTGCAGTATGAAAGCTGCAGAAGTGCTGGGTGTATTGAAGGAATGATACCTCAGTCACTTTTGCAGACAGTGGGAGACAAGGACAAAAACAAGACTGGGACAATATTGTGGAGTGTTACCTTTATTTGGGAGATAAAATGAGGTTCTTTGTTTAAAAAGAGAGAGATTGAGTGCCGGCCCCGTGGCTTAGCAGTTAAGTACACGCGCTCCGCTGCTGGCGGCCCTGGTTCGGATCCCGGGCGCACACTGACGCACCGCTTCTCCAGCCATGCTGAGGCCGCGTGCCACGTACAGCAACTAGAAGGATGTGCAGCTATGATATACAACTATCTACTGGGGCTTTGGGGGCGGAAAATAAATAAATAAATAAAATTGAAAAAAAAGAAAAGAGAGAGAGATTGAAAAGAGTTTGGCTCTAGAAAATAAATATCAAATAAATTCTAGGACTCCAGAAATCTTGTTTTAGTTCTCTTTTTTATTCTCTAGAGACTTGTTCAGTGCCTAGGAATGGAGTACAATTCCTTTGTCTGCTTAATAAATGAGGAAGAAAATGGAATTTGGGCCAATGAGTTCATCCATGAATTTGTTTGAAATGTTAGAAGTCTAGTACCTCATTTTAGGATACATATTAGTGTATTTAGAAGCAAATTATGTATGCTATATAAATGAAACAGTGATGCAAAGAAAAAGGGTGCATCCACATATACCTTATTTTATACCATGCTAGCATTTGTAAAACTATGCATATACATTAAAACTTAAATAGTTTGCCAAAAGGAAAGTAATAATAAAAGTAATAAAATTCAGGAAAGCCTGAATTATCTTTTGGATACTGATTTTATGAATTAACTGTAATCTGAGTTTATTGAGGTGGAAAGTTTTCATTGTGACTATTACCTTGCATATTTAATTAAGGATAGTTTCATTGTTGAATATTCTTGCTTAGGACTAAATAGAGAACCAACGGGTGTATCATCATTACCCAACCACATCTAGTTGTTTTCTTAATTTTATTTGTCCCAAGCAATCTGGTATCTTGTCCTGCTGAAAGCCTCTCTATGATTTTCCTTCCTCTCTAATCCAGTTCCCATTGTTTTGGGCTTCCCACATGCATAAATTTAAGCCATAACCTAAGATATTTTCTCCATGACACCATGCTGTTTCTGAAATGAGTGCAGGGGTCATGAGATTTGGATTGGGGGTCATTATTCACAAGAAGATTAATATTTTCTCATTTTAGCAAATCCAAAATATTTTCAACAATAATTTAAAAATTATTTTAAAGAGTAATTTGTTGAAAATGTAGTTTTGACATGAAATAGTGGTAAAAAATATATAATTGCTGCAGATGTCAGCAACAAAAAGAAAGCAACCTCTGACTTGAAAATCAGTTTATTTCAGCTACTCTCCATGAATTCATTTAATATATGGAATTATCTAGATGCTGATTAATAGTATGTAATTTTTTTTTATACTAAACAGCTTCATGACTAGACTTTTGTATTTGATGCTTGCAGTTGTCTTGTCTACATCATTTTACTTTGTTAAACAGTAATGTTTATTCTGGAGAGTATTTAGATGCAATATCGCTTCCCTTAAACAGCATAGTATTTACCTAGAATATTCCAGAAATGCAGAATCAATAGCATATTTCTTCTATGTATAATGTTATTCTGCTAATATTTGTGATTTGGCATGAAGCCTTTGGCTTAGGACGTGAAAAAAAATTAAGAATGAAGCTACAACAAAGGAAGGTAAATAAATCATTTGAAATAATATTTTAATATCACTCTACTCATGGAGGCCCCGATAGTAGGTGAACTATGACCACAAAAAAAAGAGTGGAGGGACAGAGTTACTAAAATGTTGCGTGTCATTTTATTTTTTTTAAGTTATTTGCAATGCTCTCTTAGAGTATTATTTTAGATATTGCATGCTTCAATAGCTGCCTAATAGATCCTGATTACCTCCAAGACATTTTCATTGATTTATTTAAAAAAAATAAGCTTTCAAATCAGTTAGTAGTTTTTTTGTGGCTCTTTATGTACTAACTATAAAATGCGGTTTCGGATATCATAGACTAACGCAGTATGACAAAGTTTAAGTTGTAGTTTTAATTTGCCTTTTCTCTCTGAATCTATTTTTAGGAACTGGGACTTGTCATTACTGGAACTCTTCCGGTCTTCAACATAACCGGCCAAGTTGAAAATAAGACAAACTTAAAGGTTAAAAGTTAATTGATAAAATTAATAATAATAAGTGATAAACTATGACGTTGAAGCTCAATGTGGATAAGATATTTCTATAAGGAAATACATACAATGTATCTGTCGTGTGAGGCCAGAAGTAAAAGGCAACAGCTGCCTATGTGATAACCACCTGGGAAAAAGGAAACGCAGGTCAAGTTGTCTGTTTCCCCAGAGCCAAGATTCAACTTAACTCTATTTAACTATGACCTGATGAGAACACAAGTTCAGACTCTGGGAGTAATTACATGATAAATGGGCAATACTATTGTGTGCACATTTTTAAAATGTGCGGAGTTCAGAAAGAAAAATCCAAAGAACAAAACCATGGTGATGTTTGTACCACGTGTACATAGGTACATTTATTGAATCATTCCTCCTCCAACTTCCATTCATACGGTAATTTTTCAAACCATCATGTAACTTGAGGATCTGATTTAAATGAATAGTTCCTTACTTTTTCTATTTTTCAAGATTCAGGAAAAAGATAATGAATTTCACAAGTCTTGATTGCTATAAAACTGGTAATATTGTCAATGCAATAAAATGCTACTAACTTAAACTTTTGAAAGTTCTGAAAAATATGTATCTTTCACTTGTTAAATTCCATTTCTTATTTTTTAATTACTTTTGACTTAAAAGTAGGGTTGCATTCCTATTTCTTAACTTGCGTCAGAAGGAATTTAAGAAAGCAGGAGAAGTTGAGATGTTTTTAATACTAAATACTCATTTTATAGTTTGGTTGGCATTCCTGATTTGAGGGGAATTTATTTCCAGTTTATGGTATCATGAAGTCTATTGCACTTAAGCATTACTTGCTCAGTTATTATAAATTTCAGTTGAATTCCTTATTTTAATAATGTGGCCATAGAAAACATTCGTTATTCCTCTTTGGGGGCCCATTACGGTTCTTAAATATCTGTGGGTTCTAAATATTGTAACTCACAAAAGAGTAATGCTCTAACTCCCCATATGGACTGTCTAAGAGATTGCTTTAATTTGGGGGTTTTTGCTCAGACTAGAATTGTTTCACAGGAATAAGAGCATAGTTGTTGATAAACCTTTCTCACTGTATGTGTAAACACACAAAGTTTAAAGTGTTCTTATAATAAGTATTGATTGGATTTTATACTTTTCTTTGTAACATTTCAATTTATTTTATAAGGTATATAATTGTATTTAAAACAAAAATTCCTGATTGTAAATTTTAACACCATTTCCATCTTGAGGTCCCATAGATAATTATGATGGCAATTGACACATAGCCTCGTTGACTTGCAACTGAAATTATGATGGCCATTGTATGGTATTTAGAAGAAGCTAGCAGCAATCAGAAATAGTGTTTTGAGGATTTCTGCTATTTTTATTATGAATAAGGTCACATACTTTCAGGATAGTTACACACACACAAATACTATCAACAGCAAAAATTCATTGTTTTCTCACTCCATACTACCCAATATGTTTAAGCTGGACATTTTTGTGATTTCTTAATCATAGTACACCACAAAGTCCTCACATACATAGACACACACACACACACACACACACACACACAGACACACACACACAGAGCTACAGCTGCTGACTGTACAGTAGCAATTAAAATAAATATTAGAGGTAATGAGTACAAGAAGTATCAAATAAAAATTCTCATATATCTTTTATACTTGAGCCTCAATCATCAAGATTTCATTTTTTAGGCTAAATAATAATAATGACAAAGTCATGGGAAAACAATCAAAGCTGAAAATCATTGTAAACTGATACCAAAAGTGCCTCACCCTTACATATGTGTTAAGCTGGTATGGAATACAACCATTGTCAAGCAAAAGGAGGAACATATATAATAACTGTGTAGAAATATGTAAATTTTTGGTACATGACCTTTTTGCTGTCTTATTATAGAACCAGCTGATTCTTGGTGTGATGGGAGTTGATGTGTCTTTGGAAGATATTAAAAGACTAACACCACGTTTTACAGTAAGATGCAATTTATTCTTTTGGTATCTTTTCTGTTTTAAAGCTCTGTACTAATTTAGCTTGTGTGTAAAGCGCTTAAGTAATTCTCAAAAATTATGTGCAGTTATCTTAGTAAAAGTGCTAAATGTTAAAAGGGGTCCCTAAAATAAAATATAAAGATACCATGTTATCCTTCTTCATGCTTTAAAATGTATATTTAAGAATTTTTTTTTTTTTAAAGAATGTGGATTTCTGATTGTGACTCAGGGATCTCTAAGTTATTTTTATTATCTTTCAGCTGTGCCCCAATGGCTATTATTTTGCAATTGATCCTAATGGTTATGTTTTATTACATCCAAATCTTCAGCCAAAGGTATGTATATAATGTGTTCACAGTGATTAGTGTTCTGTAAAATTAATGATTAATGTTCTGAATAGGTTTATCATTTTTAAATTCATCATATAGCACTGAATATAAAGGAAAGTTATATGTGTCATGTTAATAGATTACAAGACCACAGTTGATAATATATGAAAGTGTGAAAGCACTTTTCCTTCTCTCTTACCAATTTAGCTATCCAATATTCCTATTCAGTATTCAGCTAACCAATATTCCTATCTCAAAGACAGCCGTTATCACCCCGTGCAGCTAAGTTTCACACATCCCACTGGGGACTTTGATTAAGGCTGTAAAGTAGTGAAGGAGATTGCCCCAGATGGGTGTGAAGCTGATAAATATAAATCATGTTCCTCTGTGCACAGGCCACATTTTCCATTGCCCTTTTTACTTCTGGTAATTTTCTCTCCTTTTCATCTCCCAGAGTTTTTTTCTTTCTACTCTCAGGCAGGCTTGTAAAAATATGTATGAAATTCACTAAGTAAAACCCATGGGATGGGCTTCAGCAAAGGAAAATGTTTATTAATCAGTGAGTTATCTGGAAGTGATAAAATTCCATATATAAACCATTTTATCCTAATCTTGATGCTTATTTTCCCAAGATATAAAATATTTTTCACTTTTTATTAAGGCTTTACAGATAGGGTGAAATTTATTTATCTAGATGTAAAAATTGGCAAAATCTTGTTATACAATTGTAATTTATAAGCATCTTCAAGTTACTGTTTAGCTTTGAAGATAATACTGAAGATACTTTAAACCATGTTGGCAGGAAATATATATAGACTTATGCATACTACCTTCTTTTCATCAGTCATGGATATTTAATTTAGTGATATTTTAGGATACACGCAAGTGGTTGCATACACATACACATCCATATAAAGCTGAGTCATTTAAATATTGTTCAAATCTATAATTAGGGACCATTGATATTGAATGCAAAAACATATTAAATGGTTATAATTGATGTGTCTCTATTTTAATTCATCTCACTTTAGAACTTATTTCCATATAAAATTCATCATGATTTAAATATTTGCTAATCAAATGTAGCTGCTGATCGCCCTGTATTATTTTTAAAGTTGGTATTTTATTTAAATGTAGTATAGGCATTTTTCACATTACTATTAGTCCATCACAGGTCTTTATAAACACGTCATGTTAAGTTCCTCTTAATAGAGTTGTTTATGATTGGCTAAACATTCTATGATTTTGCCACAGTTGAAAAGTCTTTATATTTTTAAATCTTTTTAAGATTTTTTTTAATTTGTGATATTATTGTTTGGTCTTTGTATATCCAGTGTATTTTAAATTATATTCCCATAACTAAAGTGATTTGAAAGCAATAACAATGTAATGTGCTGAAAGATGTGAAGGATCCCTGTTTTTAAGATTGTAGGTCTTAACCCCTTCTCCAAAAGGAACTAAAAGATATCATAGACAAAATAATAAAAAAGAATAATGAGACTGATTCACATATGATGTATATATATAAATCCGTCTTTTAGAGGTAATAATTTGAAAAAAGTTTTCCCCTTTTCTACATTCTTCTACTAATAACCAATATTTGTGTCGAAAAAATTTTATTACTGTTTGAATGATGTTAACATATATTTGGCTCATATTTGGAATAATTTACTAAAATTCATAGAATTACAAAAAATATAGAAATTCTTATTAAGGCCCAGGTGATTTTTCTTCAGGATTATGTTAGCTTTTCAAAGTTTTGTATAGGAAATTATTAAAAGCAAATATGCAACAGAAAGACATTTAGAATAATATTGTTTGAGAAAACCATTAAAAATAAATGTTTGAACAATCAATGTATTCTTTTTTTCTAAAAGTCATGCTTGCAAATTAAATATGCTTAATGAATTCTCTGCATTAACAGGAGAAAGATTAAGATTTCTATTTTGTGGTTGATGGTGCAGGCTATACAGAAAGATACAAGAACCTCATAAAAGGATGGTATAGTGATTGTAAGACGGCTGTTTAGGAATTGACAAATACAAAGGGTCAATATGGTGGTAGCTAGTATACTAACAAAATTAATCTTAATTCTTTCATCAGAAATTCACCAATAGAAATAAAGGAAAATAATGCTATGTTCCATAGTACCCATTATTATTTAACAAGCTCAAAGTCTAATATATAGTATTAAATATTCAACAAGTATTCTTTGCTGAATGCCTTGTTTTCTTCCTGAAACTGTAATCTTAGTTGAAATTATTTCAGTACAATTTTCTAGTTTGTAGAAGGCAAAACACGTATCCTTTAGAAAGTCCAGAAATCAGTAAAGTAGCTATCAACATTTTGCATATCTAATTTTCTAAGGAATCATTGCTTATCTTCTCAAAATGTACTGCCTCTATCATGACCACATTTTGATAAATGCTGAATTAATTATGTGCCCTGCTTTATTCCAAAATGCATTTTAAATTTCTTCCAGTTTGTTTTATTGATATAACCAGATTAGGTATACTTATTAGATATCTCATTTTTATCAATCTTAAGAAATATTTATTGTAAAGGAAATTGTGCATAATCTATGTTTTAGAAGTCAATATTTAAAATAAATCTACAGTGTTGTGATTGAATTCTCCATTAGTTCCACAGATATAACATTTGGTATCACTTCAGAAAACAAAGTCACAAATTTTAAGAGTTTAAGATTAAGACTTTTCAATATCCTATAGTATTTCTATTTTAACATATTTGAATCATGTAAATTCTAAAAATTCTTATTTTCTTGTTTTAAATTAGCATAAAAGTTATCTGAGACAAACCATCTTTCTCACTTCCCACTCCCTCACTTTTTTTCTAGGAAAAAAAGGAAAATATTAGCAGTCATTTTACTAAAGAAAATTCTATGTATTTTTACTAGCATAACATTTTTTATTTACTAAAAATATTTTAAACTTCCATTTTATTTATTGACTCATCATGAACTCTATGATACTTGTTTCTGATCAAGAACATATCTGACCAAAATTGATTATAGGCTATAACTCTTACCTATGTTGATATATAGTATGATGAATTACCACCTTTCTGTTGCTTCAGCCTATTGGTGTAGGTATACCAACAATTAATTTAAGAAAAAGGAGACCCAATGTTCAGGTAACTGTGAATGAAGTTAGCAGTGCCTTCAAATTTGCTAAATCAGAGTTGAAATTAAGCTTCTCTTCCTAAAAGCATATGATTAATGCCACCTTTCCTGACATCAAGCTTCCAGAGCATGAGATGGAGATGAGCATCATTTCTCAATAAACTGGAGCAAAAATGTTATTAATGATGGCAGAGGGTATGCATCAGCTAACTAAAGATTGCTAGCAAATTATGTGATAATAATGTTAACAATCAGAGTAATCATAATGAGATGGCTTCTAAAAAATAAATTTATTAAATATTATAAAATTACTGTCAAATCCATGTAATCCTAACAATTTGCTTATAAAATTAACTTCTAAGTAGAAGTAAAAATACAATTCTGATGTGATAGTTTCTATAAACCATAAAATTTAAGCCAAAATTTCTTTGAATTTCTAAAAGTGTATTTTTGGATTAGAAGTTAGAGAAATTTTCCTTCAGCTAATTAAAAATGCCACAGATTGCAAATAAAGATTGTGAATTTTTATTGCCTGGCAAACTCATTGCAAAATCTTTTCTCTGTTTGCTACACAGTTTAAACGTTATTATATGTATGCATATTTCTATAGGCACACTAAAAATAATCAACATAAAGGATACTTCCTACAGTTTAGTAAAAGAATTTCAGAATCTCAAAGTTCAATATAGTTTAAGGTTTTATGTGTAAGCCTATCGTTTCTTAAAAAAAACGTTGGTGACAATATAATGGAGACGTAGTGTGATACTAAGAGGAGATCATTAAACTATGAATTAGTAGAACTGAGTTCTAGTTTGGTTCTACTTACAGCCAACACTTTATCCTTGAGTAGTTCACTAAACCTCATAAGGCTTCAGTTTCTTCATCTGAAAAGCAAAAGGGTTGAACTAATAATTTTTTTCTACTCCACATAGTATACTCACCTAGGAAATTAAATACATGTATCTATTCTGGGCTCCATTTCCTGAAAATTCTGATTTAATTTGGCCAGGGATGGCCAGGCTGTTCTAAAGTCCAGAGACACTGGATTAGTAGAAACTTCAGTTCCCTTGTAGCTCTAGAATTCTATGACAATTTGAATTTCATATTGTTGCATCAGTCTTCCTATCTTTTATGATTCCTGTAGAGGTTAAAATTATGTTTATATCTTTTCTTGATATATTAAATTGTTTTATATTACTCTTCTTGCATGTTTCTTTTTGTGCATTATCTTAAATTATACTTTTTGCAATCATGTACATTTTAGTGAATTTTTTTGCAGTAATTTCAAATATTGCATGTAAATATTATGATATAATTAAAAAATAAACAACCTGATAAATGGTTTGTTTTATTTTTGTTTTCCTTTAAGGAAACCCCAAATGGCAAACTAGCAACCACACAAGACTTCTGAACTTTGGGAATATTTTTTGACTATGCAGTATTTTTAATAATACTAACTACCAATTATTTCAATTTAAACTTTGTTAACAACATTGCCTTTTATTTTAGTTCCACAAATGGTGTGGTCGTTATGTCAGTTGATATTCAAATTTTACAAATGAGAAATGTTAGACAATTAAAATATCAAACCAAAGCATTGGGAGTGCGGGGACTGGATTCCAGTTCTCAAGCCTCTGTTGGTTCTTTCTTAGAAGATTCTGCTTTTGAATTTTTCAATGACTGTGCCTGTGACGGGTCTTTTAAAAAATGGTCGGCCAGATTGCCATTTAAAAAGTACAAGTTATGCACTGACATTTTTCTTTTATGATTTCATTTTCTTCTCTGTGTTGTTGTATGTTGGATTGGGACATGATCTTCATATTGCCAATTCTTCCTGATAATGCCTCCTCCGTGCATGCTGTTTGGGTCTGGTCATGCTATGCATTATCCATTGCATGTAAGATAATATTCTTATTTATGTTTCTATTTTATCATTTTGATTATTTTGACTTTGTTTTGCAGTGAGTTTGTTAATGTTAATGTTGATATGATGGTGTTTGTGTGAAGGTAATTTGTGTCATGGGACTTGAAGCAATTCTGTATAATATTTTCAACTTCAGAGTATCCTTTTGTTAGAGACTTGCTTGGTTTTATTTTTCAAACAAGGGATTAGAATTATTTTCAATGATAATTTTTATTTTTTTCTTATGATTTCATAAGAAATGCTACATTTCAAATGAATATTTGCTTCTAAGACGCTGTCCAAACAATGGTCAGTATTTTCACCTATTAAACAACATAATACTTATTTTTAATATTCTAGAACCTCCTAATTCTAGAGATCAAGTTCATAAGCGGTGAATATTTTTTCAGTGAAAGTGCCAAACAGTTGAGACTACTTTTGTAAATTCACCTTTAAGAATCCCCATTCATGAAAACCCATGGGATTCATGAATTTTCATTATTGAAATGGAGTTACTCTTTGAAGGAAGGCATTTTTTTCATAACTATAAAATAAATACATGCCATATATACCATGTCATTCAGCATTTGAGGTAAATAAGATATGTTTACTATTAATACCTTTTTGTCTTGGGTAGTTAGTCCTCCTGAAACAGTGTTTAAAATAGTGATAATCTGAACATATTTTGGAAGAACTGTGAGGCTAAAATGATTAAAATTCCAGTGCCCTTCCACTAATACAGCATAATTTGTATTTATTTTTTCTATCTAACTAATTATAATATTTTGGTGGTATTTATTTTCGTAAATGTTCAAAATCTAGTTTCTAAAATTTTGCAATTGTAAAATTATTATGATTATGATTTTATGGTTCTAGAGAACACCTATTATGATTTTATTGTTGTAGCGAACTTTGAAATTCTACTATGGAATGTTACATTACTTACCAAGTGTTATAAGAGAATCAGTATATTTTTGTTTATCAAATAGTTCAATAAGTCTTCATTTTATGATTGAGAAATTTAAAAAATGTCATTTGAGGTACATTTGTCAGGCTAACAGTTTCATCTGATATATTTATGTAAATAAATAATCTGCCTTGTTCCACAGTGAATTTTATTTATTATTGCACACCAGCAGGAAAAAGCAATAGATGTTAAAGCAGGAAACAGTATTTAGTGAACCCAGGGGTTATTATTCTAATTAGACTTTAATTACAATAGCTAGTCTTTATTAAAGTCCTTATGAGTTGACAACAATTTTCCTATAAAGTTGACTTAATTTGGCTTATTAAAACATAATGTAAAATTTATGAGATTCAAATATATGAAGCAAACTTGCATCTTTTCTTTGTGCATTTTAAGAAGGAAGAATGAGTTTAGTAGTTTGTTTTGCTTTGCAAATTCAAACATAATTTTTAAAACATTTTCCGTCATATAATTTCTTATTTCTTTATAAAATACAAATAAAGAATGTGTACTACTTATATGTTGCCTATGTCTTATTGCCAAATATGTTATCCACATGGCTATATTTTGGTCCTTTCCCATCCTAATTAAAGAAAAAAAGTTGTGAATGGATCTTCAAAAGTCATATTCCCACAGAATGATTATAAATGTACTAACACAGCACTTAAAGTGAGACTATCTTTAGATGGTGATAAATTAAATTTTGTCTGCTGCACTTTAAAGCTCAAATCCTTACCCTTTATTATTTTTAAAAATATATATGAAAGAATATACCTTTATACAATTATTTTGTCAGCTATTTAATATACTGTAGGTAAGTAACTTTTATAGAATTAATTTTATATTTAAATATCCATTGAATTATTCTATATACAGCATCATTTAACAATGTCATATGTGCTTAATTATTATTTTCTGTCTAGAACCCCAAATCTCAGGAGCCAGTAACTTTGGATTTTCTTGACGCAGAATTAGAGAATGATATTAAAGTGGAGGTGAGTGTCATCAGTAGGCCTGAACACTACTCTCTGGTCAGATGCTGGAATTCATCCCTTCCACAAGTATCTGTTGAGCCGCTTCTTTGTGTTAGGTTCTCTTTTAGGTACTGTATATGCAAAGATGAATGTTTTTGTCTTTAAAAATTTCTAGATCCTGGGCTCTCTCATCCAAAATGTCATATGAACAGTAATAAATATTTTAAGTTGGGTGGAAACTTAGTTTTTTTTTCTTTCTCATTCTACGGATCAAAATATTTTAAGCATTTCAATACAAATGCAACTTGTAAATTTCAATAAAAAATATAGAGATGGAAGACATTGCTATCAAGTTGAAAGAAAGTTGGAGGGAATCTAACCATCCACCCAATGAGCAACGTGATGAGAGAAGCTGCCGTGTTTGTCTTAGGACATTTTATTCAGAAAATTTCTATTTTATTTCAAAACCAAAATTGCATGTTACTTCCTCTGAGAGGGTCTTTCATATTAGTAATAATAATAACATTTATTAAGTACATGATATGTGTCAGTCATGGATTCTCAAGAGCCTTTGACATAGTTGTTATTATTAGTATAACAGTTATAACAACAGTTATACATCTGTTGTACTGATAATATGTTTGAGGTACAGAGAGGTTAAATATCTTGTCTTCAGTTACTCAGCTAGTAAGTAGCAGAACCAAGATTTGAACCAGGCTCTTGCACTCCAGAGCAGAGATTTTTAAGATTCTTTTAGATGGATTAACTCCTTTTCTTATCTATGCAACGGCCACCATATTTCTTTTATAACTTGTCATGGTATGTTTTAATTTGTACATGCTTTACACATTTTACACATTTACTCCCTCCTTGTAGAACAATAGAATTTAATTGTTTATTATAATTACCCTAGACCGAGGCATAGTGCTGGGATGTTTTAGGTGATTAATGAATATTTGTTGTGAAGTGTTTTGACACGATGGAGTAGGATCATGGAATGGTGGAGTTTGGTCTGTGGATTCTCACGCCACTGAGTGACTATAATAAAATTATTTAACCACTCTTAACTCTCAGTTTCCCCTCAATCAATCTCATAAAGTAATTGACCACTATTTTATTAATTACATTTCAAAAAGTAATGACTGGTTAAAAATATTTTATTAAGGATGTTTTTATTATTTTACAATAATATAAACTGACTATCACGTGGTAACTTTTGAAAGAATGTTCCCAGAGAACAACTACAACTACTGGTAAAACCAACTTACTATTCTTATTCAATCTAAAATAAAGTCTAAATCTTGAAAAATTAATATTTTAATAATCATACCTTGGTAGGTCAGTTGAGTTCCTGCAATGAAGTAGCTGTTTCATTTTCCCTTAGATTCGAAATAAAATGATAGATGGAGAAAGTGGAGAAAAAACATTCAGAACTCTGGTTAAATCTCAAGATGAGGTAAGAATTAATTCAAATTTCTTCTTAAATAAAAATACATATATTAATAATAATTGATATTGATAGTTTGTCTTTCTTTTCTATTAAAGCAATATTTACTTATAAACAGGGATGTCATTAGTAAACACATTTTCTTTTTTTTAAGGTACTCTTAGCTGGAGGGATATTTTCCATAAGATATTTTTAACTCTTTTTCTTCTTTTTGTAAAATAATGTTGCTTTAGGTTTTTTGATGTATTTTTATGATATTAATATGTTCTTGAAAATTACATGTTATGTCCACATATTTTATCATTATAAGAAATTGAGCACACAATATAATTTTATGCCGTGTTCTTTTGGGCCATTTTAATCATGCAAAATTGAAGTTAATATTGAGTAGCTGTATGTTTAATATGGTTTGTGCATGCAGTTATTCTAATTATTGAGTTCCGTGTCTTTATTTTGTTTTTCTAGTTTTTGTTTACTTGTGTCTGGCTTGTTTTATTTTCTTTTGCTATCTATGTACTTTATATTATAATTGTCCTGCATTTAAATCTGAAATTAAATCAAGAGATAACACAACTAACCCCATAAAACAATGGTACAAGTATGTAATAAACTTTTGTTGTTGTATGTTGACATGGAAGAACTCTTTGTATGTGAGGAGTGTGTCTATGCATTACTAGTCACATATGGAGTAAATACACAAACATTCATATATTTGAGTATTTGAAAAATATATTGAACCCAGAAGCTTTGAGCCTCAAAATTTAAGTTTTTATATGTAACTTATGTCCCTTCCCTGACAGTGTCACCCTTTTTAAATGTATACATTTCTCCTAAATTCCTCAGCAGATCCTTCCCTAAGTTGGAGCTAGAATCTAAATATGATCCTTCATTCGCACGTGGCTTTTCTCATTTAATATCATTAAAAGTCCCCAGTACCAGAACACAAAGGGAAGTATATATTAACTTCAGTCTTTGTTGAAACTTCAACTCCCTTTACTTCAACTTTAGCCGTGCTGTTTACCTCCTCACTGCTTGCGAAAAGATGTAAACTATTCAACAGTTCTGCCAATTTCTCCATGTTGTTCTGCCAACAAGAACTCTTTGACCTACACATTCTTTCCTCAACTTACAAATTAATTTAGTTTCTAAGTCACTTTGATATTTTCCCTCCTTCAATTTACTGTGAATTCCTCTGACCAATATCCACCTATAGACTTTTCCTGTTAATAATATTGAAAGAAAACATTATCTCTTATATTTCCCTAATCTGATAGTATTTTTTAACTTGCTGAACAACACTAGTTTGCCTTGTTTTTTATGAGTAGTAACAAATGCATAAACATTATTTCTTTTAATTCTTTTAAGAGTTTTACTAGTTCAAAAACCTCCTCACCACTTTATGCTCCCCCTCCCCCCATCCTCCACACACACAGATAAAGCCATAGGGATGTTTGATGTATAGAAGCAACATGTGTAGTTATTATGAAATGAATTTGGCATCATACGTTTCCCTTCATCCTGACAATTTAAGTCTTTTTTAAGACTTATTTCTTCATCAATAAATTGTGGGAAACAATAGTATCTACTCCAGGGAGTCGGTTAAATGAGACAGTGATTGTAAAATGCTTAGTATGTTGCCCAACACCAAGTAACATTTTAGTGAACGGTATTGTTCTGATGAGGATGATAAAGCTGGAGATAACAAAAAAAATTAAAATATGCATATGTGCCATCACTATACCTAATGGAAGAAAGAATGATAATTTCTTTACTATTGTTCAGTAGCTACATATGAAAGATTCTATATCCATGAAGTTATTTAGCTATGTACTTCTTTCTCTGGTGGATTTAGTTGTTTTTCTAACCTTCAATGGTACTGAGTAATTAGTCTCTTATGATAGATAAATACTATAATAATGGCTTAATAAGAACAGTAATATGCTAATCATACATTTGGATCTAGACACACTGAGTGCATTAATTTCCTGCTATTACCAATATCTCCTAATTATACTTCAGTATGGAAATATCTGAACCTCATCTAATATTTATTAGTCCTATTTCATTATTAAAATTTATTTTTCAGGAAATGTTGTTTTCAAAGTTTTGAGGACAATAATTTGGGATAAATTACTAAGATTTTGCACTTATAAGTCCTTAAAATTTATCATTTGGATGTTTAGTTTTCTCATAAAACTTTGCCTTGCACACACACACACACACACACACACAACAGAATGAATAAATGTAGAATAGATCAGACATTTGTGAAGAAGGGTATTGAGGGGCCGGCCCCGTGGCGTAGCAGTTAAGTGCGCATGCTCCACTCTTGGTGCCTCGGGTTCGGATCCCCGGCGCGCACCGACGCACCACTTGTTAGGCCATGCTGTGGCAGCGTCCCGCATAAAGTAGAGGAAGATGGGCACAGATGTTAGCCCAGGGCCAGTCTTCCTCAGCAAAAAGAGGAGGATTGGCATGGATGTTAGCTCAGGGCTGATATTCCTCACAAAAAATAAAAATAGAAAACTAAATAAAAGATGTGTATTGAATGACCACAGAATTTGCAAGTAGTCCTAGTGTTCTGCTCTCCATATAAATTCACTTAGAATATAAGGTGATAATAACCACTTCAAACTTGTTTTCTAGAGATATATTGACAAAGGAAACAGGACATACACATGGACTCCTGTCAATGGCACAGATTACAGGTAATTAATTATATTTAAATGTGTATTGTATAAAAGAGTATTCAGTTCGATGTCTTTCACCTACTTTTAGTAGCTATTTTTTCAATGGGTGAATATTAAGTCTTTGCATTTTCATAAGCTATTTTCAATATAACTAAAATAGAAAAGTTACCCTTTCCACCATAATGTATTAAAGTTATAGAGTCTGATTTTCAAAATGGAAAAAAGCTAGAAATATAAAATTTAGAAAGGAAAATATATGTGATATGTCTATTTGATATTTTGTATATTTAAGTTAGCAATAATAAGTGTTGACAAGATTCCCTTAATAATTTGTAGTCATCATCTCCACTGATTTCCTCATTTAAATTGTCATTTAGTTTACTTACATTTAGGTTGCAAACTAACTTAAAAATAAAACTTATCACATCATAGTATAATCTGATATAAAATGCTCAGTTGATATCATTTATCTCCATGAGTAGTAATTCTATAATATTCTGATCCCTCCAATTGACTGGGGTTTGGAAAACTGGGCAGACTAATACCCTATAATCTCTTAGAAATTCTTCATTCTTCAACACTTGCTGAGCATTTCCTTCACTTTCTTGTTCTAACTCTTCTCTGAGGTCACGGCCTTCCCTGTGGTCCTGCTTCCCACATGCTCATAATACTGAGGCTGATATGAGCATGTTCTTTTTACTCTCTCTCTTCTTCCTCCCTAAAACCCCATCTTTGAATCTCATGTCACCAGACCATACCACCCTCCATTCCTCCTTTTTAACAGTCATCGCCCTTTCATTCCTATAAGATTTTAATTCTTGGCTCACTGTCAATCTCTCTTACATTCACATAGATCACGGTTTCTGAAACTATTTATGACATACCCATTTTATGTAAAATAAAACAAAAATTATTTACTAAAATAAATTTTAAAAGAGATAAAAACTCAAGCTTAAAATTTTTATTATTAGACTCCACAGACATAAAATTAGTCTTTCAAATTGCTATAAAATTTTCTAAATGCTTACCCTCAATTTCTGTATTTAACTGGTTGTGAGCAGGTAATAGACAGTTTGCAAATGGGCCAGGTCTGTGGACCACACTTAAATAGCATTGACAGAGATGATTTTTCTAGTAGCTGGACTCTCAGTTTCTTTATCTCCTCTCTTCTAATGATCTTGTCATCTCCCTACTTTAGCTACCCACTCCAAGTCATATTTTGCAACTCTAACATTGTTAAGATTGCAACTCCTCCATAATCTTAATTTGAGATTTTTTTCATCCAACTCTCAGATTACTACGTTTTAGATTTCCATCCCCTCCCTCAAGGAGCCCAACTCCAGCAATTCTTTGACTCAACTAAGATGTGAAATCCATCAATCTCTTCTGCTTTCTCACTGCCCTTGCCTTCTTCATCCTTGCACCTCTCTTTGTTTGGCATAAATTTCTTGAGTCTTAATATATTTACTCTCTTGCATATACCATCAACTCCCTTCATCATACTCAATTTGGCATATCCCAATCCTGATTAAATTCAGATTACTACCAACACCACGTTGCACCCACACAGCTACAAATGAGTGAGTAAAATCTCCCCTGACTGATATATCACCTAAAATTTATGACCTCTAACCTCAAATGGGCTTTAGTGGTGCTTGGTGTTCTCAATAGTCCAGTAAATTTAGGATGCTCATAGATGACTTTTGATAGCTTCTCTTCTGTCCTCAAACCATTAACACTTTCCCATCCATTTTCTTTTGTGTTATGTTTTTGTTTCCTATTTCACTGTGAAAAATAGAAATGATCAGAAGAGAACTCCCACCACCACAGTACATAACGACTTGCATCTGTATCTCCTTCTTTTACCTCTCTTTCTATTCTCAACACAATAACAAGAGTTAGGATATTTCATTTCTCTACTCAAAACCTGCAATAATCTGCTATCTCATTCAGTATAAAAGCCAAAGTTTGTCACAGCCATCAGAAGCCCACAGCATCTGACCTCATTCACCATGAGCTCTTTGAATTTACCTACCAGATTCTCCACTGAACGTATTTGGCTTTTGTTACTTTGTCCTCCTTGCTACTCTTCATAAACACTGGTATCCTTCTGCCTCAGGGCCTTTGCACCTGAAGTTATTTCTGCCTAGAATGACTTTTCCCCAGATATTCACATGCTCACTCCTCATCTTCTTCACACCTTTGCTTACTTTCATCTCTTCAGTAAGGCCTTCCCCAACCATCCTATTTAAAATGTAATGTCCCTATCTCACTCTTCTGCTTTGTATACTCCATAACCCTCATCATCATTTGACATTTTATATATTTTATATATATTTTATATACGCACATACATACACACATATGAAGCATATATAGACAAATTTAGTTCTATTGTTTATCTTAACTTCACTAGTAAGTTCCAAGAGGGCAAGGTTCTAAGACTGTTAGATTCTAAGATTGTTGCCTGCTTCGTTTACTTTTACTTTTCAATCTCCAGCTCATAAGAGAGTGGCATATAATAGACATTCTATAAATATTTACAGAATTGAAGATGATCTTCAGTTTGTCTTATCTTGTCATATTTAAATAATGGTGTCCAAACTTCCATTGAAATATTCAAGTGTGGAGGACTCTTTGACTACATATTAGTATGTCGCCTAATTTATCCACTGTGGTGGACTCAACCATTCCTTTCCTAATAAAACCAAACTCTGCCCCCCTCTCCCCCCTGAACATACACTTAACCTTTGAGGGGAGCTTATAGTGCTGGGGATTTGTCTAGAGCTACAATGTTGAGAGCTACAAAGCTACAAATTTCTTATGAAACTGCTTCCTTTTGGGTTCCTAGGATGGCATACAGAATACAGAAGAGAAGAACATAGATATTAATGTCATAATACACTACATGTCAGCCTTTCTCCACTTTTTCAGTTTTTGACATATTTTTGAACCTATTGAGAAACACCAGAATGACTATTTTTAATTATTTCACTTGTTTCTATCTACTGATTTCTGTCTCATTTCTATTAGGTATCTCTTTACAGATACACAATCTTTATGTATATATACAAGACATTATTTTTCTTTCCTTTTCCATGATGATTCCCACCTTTCAATTTTTAGATAAACTTGTCCAAAGATGTGACAGGAGAGAAGAAATCTGGGAACACTGTCTCTTTAGAGATGATTCCATGTAAAGTATTAGATGCCTGTATGGGAATGTGCTCTATGCTTTTGTTTCTTAGATGAACAAATTCTAAGTAAGAAACACTGGATCCCTTTGACCTTGACAATGAGTCAGCGATGATATTTGGTCCTACTGCAGTCATAATTACATTCTAGGGATATTTTAAATTTTCACTATACCTTACTTAACCGTGTTTGTAATAGTCTCACAAATGTTTCATACATTTAACCCCTATCCCTCACACACCCAGTCACAATACATTACGTGGCCAGATTAATGTTTTTTCCTCCAGTCCTGGGTATTTCACTCCTTATTCACAAAACTTTATTCTCTCCATTTTCATCCAAGTTAAATTTGGACTTCCAAGTCTGATATTCACATCACACATTTCTAGCCCAACCTGTCTACCCTGTCATTTCTCCACGCCCTCCCCATACACATCAGTGTCCTCTCAATAGGCCCCAACTTCCCCACTTTTGGGTGTTTTCCTCACACACTCCCTTCTCAAATCCACAGCTTTGGGCCCGATTAAATCTATTTGCATTATAAGCACTTCCCTGAATCGCTATAAACAAAGTCACAAATAACAATTTAGAACAAAATATTACATCTAAGTTGGAGAAAAAATGTCATGTTGTCATTTAATGCATGAGAAACCAAATTTCACTTGGTGATTTCTGTCTTCTTTAAGCCTTGATGTAACTTAGGTATGACATTTTGAAATATTGTACAGTCATGCATCGCTTAACGGCAGGGATACATTCTAAGAAATGTGTCATTAGTCAATTTCATCACTGTGCAAACATCACAGAGTGTACTTACACAAATCTAGATGACATAGCTACTACACATCTAGGCTATATGAGACTAATCTTACGGGACTACCATCATATATGCAGTCTGTCATTGACCGAAATGCCGTTATGCTGCTCATGACTGTAAATAATTGTTTTAATAGAATGCTCTCTATTTTTCAGTGAAGAGTTAGTTTTTATAGAGATAAATGATTAAGTTGAAAAATGTGTTATACTCTATTTGACTAGTTAACCATGTTTATGTGAGTCACAAAAACATTGCATGGACTCTATCATCCATCTGGTGGCTGCTGGCTTTATTAGACTTTAATCCCTCAGAGAAAATAAAGCAGCCTTTGTTGGTTTTATATGGAGAGAGACAGCAAAAACTGCATATGTCAGCATCATTGACTCAGTGTTGGTAAAGATCTTATCTGCTATAGGTTGAAGAAATAACTGTTGCCTTGAGATGGAAATAAATTAACTGTAACTGTATTTTTCTATAGAATGGAGTGTAGCTCTTAATAACAACCTGAGACTTGCAGGCCAATAAAATGTATATTTGATATGCCAATTTTAAAACTTCTATTCTGTTCCTCATGAGTTTCTATACTATTTATATGGTCCATGAGATGTAACCCAAGCTTACAGAGTGACACTGTAGCAGCCACATGATATGACGTTATCAGTTTTAATTAGAAGTTTCTCTTAGCAATAACTGCTGATGGGGCAATAAAAATGTCCTAATTTCCCTCGAGAGGAATTTGTAGGACACAATCTTCAAATGCTCGGTAATTGTGCTCTATGTTTGATAAATGGCAAGTGAATCATGAAAGGTCATCTTGCTTTCAGACTAGTTGCGCTGCTTATTTTAATTTTAATCTCTGCCTCTACGTGAAGGAAGTTACCTATAAAATGAGTTGAGAGGTTTTCATTAAATCTACATAACATTTTATTCCTCTGACCTTTTCCCATAAGGGAAGTCTATGAATTACTTAATGGTGGAGAAAGATTTGGGAATTGGAGATAACAAGCATCCACTCATATTGCTATCTTGACTGCATAAATAAACCCTTGCTTTTTTCCTCTTTGTAGAGTGAATTTTTAACATATATATTCACAAGAAGGAAAACCTTAAATGTTATATTTTGTCCTGTTCTATATTGTCCATAAAAAATATATAATGAGATTACAGTTGGGACATCCATCCCAAAAGCCTGGGAAACATGAGGCTTGAGTGATTTAAAAGAAGATCTTCTACAAATGCCTAGAAATACTCAGAAGCCTGGAAATGCACACTTTTTCCTATGCCTTGCTAAATTCTAGATTAAATATTAAAAGCAAATGCTGAATGATTCAATTGGTGACGTGAATCAAGCATCACTTTTTGAAAATAGTTGCACTGGGAATCTTAAAGAGACCCTCACTTTTTGCACCCATTAGTTCGTAAGTTTTGTTCTATATTCAAAGCATAGCAAAGCACATTTGCAACTGTAAATGTGGGTATGGAATAATTAGTTATGTCCTACACATGTATATTAGCCATGTGAGAGTGGAAGAATTACACATATGCTGTTGTGTTATTGGAAACTGCATAATATTCAAATATTTTGACTTTTTAAAATACTATTGGGTAAGAACCAATGGGATGAGCAGGCAATCTTTCTTAGTGCTATAAAGGAATCTGAATTTTCCCACCGACAGACACTGGGGAACTTGCCTTAAAGATTAGAGTTTTAAAATAGTAGGTATTTAACCCCTCCAAAGAGTATATTTCAGATGATTTTATGCATTGTGTAATAGAAATGATAATAATTTTTACATTTGTAATTTTTAAATAGTGTACATTTGCTACAAAGCACTTTAACAATATATAGAATTCATTAAGGAGGGGTATTCAACTCGTATGATAAATTTTACTTTGTTTAAACATAACCCTGGTATCCTTCTATCTTTTTCAACACTCAACATATTTCAATACACTTTTCTGGAAATATAGTACCCATGACATTTCTTTCTCAGTTAATTTATGGGCACATTTAGTAGCTTATTTTCCGTATGTCTCTTCTGATTCCCTACAATGTCGAGAACTGGATGACTCTGGAAGGCAAGACCGAATTAACTACTCTATTTACTGAACGCCTTTCCCTGTCAAAGTAACGTCTTTCCCGTCCCATGAGGAAGATCTTTGGATTTTCCATGAACTTGATGTGTCTTTTTTTTGTTATGTTTCATTTTTGTTTGTTTGTGTTTATGCTTCTCTTGTTTCTATTGCAGTTTGGCCTTGGTATTACCAACCTACAGTTTTTACTATATAAAAGCCAAAATAGAAGAGACAATAACTCAGGCCAGATGTAAGTACTGTGAAAGCGACTCCAGGGTCTATTTGTTATCTCCTACTATCAGATGTTTCAATACGTCTAGATTTTGGAATACCCAAGGCTTATACATTTTAGTAGGTGTTATTACCAAACCTACAGCAATGATTCTAACCCATTCCAAACATGCAAGGAACAAGAAATATTCTACATGGATAGAATATGAGCAGGTACTCCAGTCTCACTGGTAGTCCCCACCACCCTTCCCTGCCTTGCTTTGTGCTCACAGAATCATTGCAGCGCTGTGTCCTCTGTTGCTGTCATTTTAAGGGTCTGCTAGCTGGCGCAAAATGTTTCACATAATCTCTACTCATGGCACTGTGCTTTTGAAGCTTTATCTTTTCTTTTATTTTTCTTTTTGGCATTTGGCAAGAATATTGTGCTCCACATCTTCTACTTTGTTTGAATAAATTAAATTGCATTGGTCTTTGGCTTTCGTTTGGCAATTAACTTTTTTCTCATAATGCAAATTAATGTCTTCAGTAACTCAAATGGATTAGTTTTTTAAAAGCATCATTTGGAATGTGGAGTAATTATTAATACTAGTGCATTTTCAAGTCATTATTAATCTTTGTTTTGGGTGACTAGATTTAGTAAAGTAAAATGACCATCATATCCTTTGTACATCACACAATTATTACTGACAACCTAAATTTTTTCTGTTACAATAAAGAAAAAGTATATGTATGTATGCCTTTTACATCAGACCTGATGTAAACTATAGTTTCTTTCATTGCTCTGTCAGTTCTTTTTTGCTCTCTGCAGTCCTGGTTCTCATAGTACATTGTGGTCATTTATACACTGATATTTCCACTTTCACTTGGTGGATAGATATGATGGTCTTTTAACAACAGCAACTTTGCATGAGCTAGTTCTTTACTTGATAAATGAGGGGATGACTAGTGGGTCTTTGACAATTGGTGTAAATGCTTCTGTTTATAGGCCAACATCATCGGTATTGCACCTGCATTAACCACTTTGCAAAACAGACCCTTGAAATAACCACAGTATAGACAGGGTGCTCTAGTAGTAATTGACAGGACATACTTTCCAGTCTTCAAAAATATGTGTCTTTTTTTCCAGACTACAGCTGTACATAAATAAACCTTTGATCTATGCACAATATTTTTATTCAAGAAAGTCATTGAATAAAATATTGTTTGTGACCCCCTTTGCTTTACCCTCTTTTTTTTTTTTTTTTCCCTGCTTTCTCTTTCTGATGGATTTTCACAGCAAAAAAGGGCAAAATGAAGGGCAAGTATTTTCTTGTTGCTCAATTTCTTTCTGTTTAGTACACTTGACATTTCCACTGATATTTCCATCCCTTTTGGATATTATCCTCTGTGCTTCTCATTTGCTAGATTTTCCTCCATGATCACTCAAACCTTAGCATCAAAAAAGGGGGAAAGAATATGCTTGTGTTTTCATATGCAACCTGTTTCACATTCCAGTTTTTTCTTAGGCTTAAATACCTGTGTGTGTTTATCCTTCCACTTACTAATTCACACCTAACATGATGAATGTTATTAATTCACTAAAAGCATTAATGAGTTAATTAAAATCATTTTCTTTACCATAATATTGGTAAAATATTTATATTGACATTATCAATAAAATACTTCTAATGTAACATTGATATAAATCACTTTTCAAAAGATGCCTTCGTTATGGTAGAGTTAGTAAATGGGAAAATTATAGACAGCATTTTTTCTGATATAACTGGCGTAAGCCAAGTTATGAAATTAAAATGGATTTTATTATTATATTGTGAAGTACTGAGGACCTTTATATTCATTAATGTGTTTCAATTTAGGATATAAGTAGTTTATTTCTATTTTTTCTTATTAGGTTATTCTAATGCCTTCTAATTGTCATAGAATCTCAGGATCTATATTCTGGATTGCTTATCTAATCCTATAACATTATCTTTGCAGATTCAGAAACACTGAAGCCAGATAATTTTGAAGAATCTGGCTATACATTCATAGCACCAAGGTTGGTTTTGTTTTATTTTGTTTTCTTTTTTTTATAGCTTGTAGGGATGGATAGGCCTTCAGTAACGGTTCTGAGCTGGGGTCAAGACTGCTCTGAGTTAATTCCACGCCAAATTATGGAACTGAAGGGAACAATAACTTTAAAACTAAACTTTAAAGTTTTAGAAACTCTGTTTGATTACAGAAAGGAGTCAGGATTGGGAAGTAAGGGGGAAACCAGAGGTAAGGGGATCAATTAGGAGGCATATACTTGATACTCATAAGATAAGTTTTTTTGAGGAATCTCAAAAGAACATCCAGTGTGAGTAAAATATTTTTGTAGAAATTGAATTTTTGTAGGAAACATTTCCAGGAAAAGTGAGCATTGAACGTGTATTCAAAGAATTGTGGAAAATAAAGTGATAGAAAATTGGGATAAAGAAAAAATGGGCGAAAATGTTATATAGGACATTGGTCATATATTTTTGTCACTGTTATTAATGGGAAACAGTGTAGCAAACTCTAGAGCAAGACTATCTGGGTCTGTTTCCCAGTTCTTCATTGTCATGGCTGTGTTATTCATGTTCCTTGAACCTTAGTTTCTTTACTTGCAAAATTATAATAGTAATAATACCCATTTTATAGAGTTTTTATGAGCTTCAAATGAGATCATGCAAAGTATTTAGCAAGCTCTAAGATATGAGCTCTATAAAAAAGTTGTATAGAGGTTATAGTAAGAGGTAGGAAGAGGAGTGATATTTAATAAATGGTATTAAAAAGCAGTTATTTTAAAATAATTTAAAGACAGTGCGCAAATTTTAATGATAGAACCATTTTTGTTAATTTCTAAGTAATTAAGCTATTTGATCCTGATTAATACTCTGTTTTTGCAATTTCCTTAAATTTTAAAACTAGTACAAAAGGGGGCCGGCTCCGTGGCTTGGCGGTTAAGTGCGCGCGCTCTGATGCTGGCGGCCCGGGTTCGGATCCCGGGCGCGCCCCGAGGCACCACTTCTCCGTCCAACGCGAGACCGAGTCCCACGTACAGCAACTAGAAGGATGTGAACCTATGACATACAGCTATCTGCTGGGGCTTTGGGGGGAAAAAAGTGAATAAATAAAATCTTTAAAAAAAAAAAAAAAAACTAGTACAAAAGGAAAATGTTGAGAATATAGATGCATGGAGCATTGTTCCTACCTTTAGGAGGCACAGTCATAGGGATGAAAAGTCTAAAACAGGGATTAACTTTGCTGTCTTTCTTGGATAATCAGAAATGGGAAAGGCAATTCAAGATGAGTTAGAATGAGAAAGAAATAACAGTATGTGAGAGCCTATAGTTAGATGTAATTTGTGATGTATGACTTATATAAGTTTGTTGAATAGAATGAGAACAAACTCATTTTCACTATTCTAGAAATAAATAATTTGCCAAATTTCTAATACCAAAGGTCTTTTAGTTTCATAGCCATTTAAGTTACAAAGCTCATTTGGTCAGAAACGCCAAGTAACCAAAAGAGATGATAAAGCTTTCAGCCCCAGAAGGTATTTTCAGCAAATTGAAGTTTGATTTGTTCCTTGAAAGCTATCCAAGGATTTCTCCACTTTGTTGCTTTACTTTTCTGAGGAATTATTTTCCTAAAGAGATTAACTAATGATCGATATGTGTAAAATTGATCTCTTTTAGGAAAACAGTGCCTCATAGAAAATGTGTCAGCAGGTCTTCCCACATGTCCTGGGGGAACTTCTTAGCAGTTTTGGTAACCACAGTGACTGATCTGCCGCCCACTGTCATGGGCTGATTCCTTTGGGACAAGAATCTAAGAAATGGTGGTTATCTTGAGCTGTCAAGCTCCCAGTCCTGTGTTGAACAATCATTAGGCTAACAGGCAACCAACACCAATGCTGTCTGTCTAGCCTCATATTCACATTTCAAATATTTCATTCAGGCTCTTGCTACTTATTGCCTACTGCACAGGCACCATACTCTACATGGTGGGTGATTTTCTGTTGTCCTTCTGAATCATTCTTATAACTGGAGAACTCATACTATTGATACTCACCACTGTCAGCGTTTTCTCACATTTCCATTGTTTAAATTCTTTCACTTGTTTCCATTTTAACAACTCTCCTTACTGGCACTTCCAACACTTTCACAGCTTTTGCCATTAGTAAACATCAGGTCAAGGATATCTTTAGACTTCTTCAAAATTGAACACAACCCAACTAGCAAGAATGAAAAAAAAACATGATGACATTGAATAAACTAATTGTTCACTACAGTAAAGGCATTTATTTAGAGCTTAAAGTTGCTTTGGGCCTGGAGCTTTGCGGCAACAGAAGTTCACAAAGTGAAAATTCAAAGCACATTGTATGGTTAAAACACAATAATTAGGAATCGGAAGACTTGCTTTCTCTTCAGGATTTGACCATTTCCTAGTTAGGTACATTTACGTAAATCTTTTTACATCTTTGAATCTCAGTTTTCTCACCTTTAAAATATTAAATACCTTCTGATAAAGTTATTTTGGGGATTAAATGAGCAAAGATAATTTTAGAAATGCCTTCTAAATAATAACATGGAATCCTAAAAATCATGTTATTAATAATTATTTGCAACATTTTATTTAGTCCTAAAGCCTTGCCATCAGCTTCTAATTCTGTGAGATTATAATTCAATATATTGGCCTTTTGACTTCCAGGCTAGTTTCCAAAATAGCCTAGCATTGTGGGAAGAAGTCAAATTTAGCTCTGTCAATAGCAAAGTGAGTATAAATCATATAAACTTTCTAAACCTTGCCTCTAAACTAAAATTTTCCATGAACCGAGTTTTTTTTGAAGTTCTGACATTCTATTCCTCTATCCTCTCTGAGGTTTTGTATTTAGGTAATCCTTGCATATGAAAATGTTTGCTGTTTAATTGCATTTTTTCTTGAATATTTGATTATCCAATCTGTTGGTTGTATTAACCTAGTTATTATAATTGTAGTCTTATACTGATGTTGTCTTATATTTATTCTGAATTTCCAAAACACTTAGGACAGCAGTTGTCAAAGTATGGTTCTCAGAACCCTGTGGGTTCCAGAAGTCCTTTCAGAGAATTTACAAAGTCAAAGCTGTTTTCCTAATGATGTTAAATGATGTTTGTCTTATCTTCATATTGACATTTGCACTGACAGTACAAAAGCAATGGTGAGCTGATACCTTAGCAGGCATCAAGGCAGTGGCCTTAAAGTGTACTGGTAGCCATTGGAAACTTCATTGCCAGACACCCACATCAGGGAAAAGGCCAGTTTCACTTTAAAATATCCTTGAGTGAAGCAGTAAGAATAATTAATTGTATTAAAGCTTTACCCTTGAGTGTGTCTTTTAATATTCTATGTGATGAAAATGGAAGTTCTACTGTGTACCAGGTAAGTCGGCTATCTCAAAGAAAAACACTTGTGTGATTGTTAGAATTGAGAGCTGAAATAGATGCTTTTAGCTTTTTTTTTTTCATGAAATATCATTTTACTTGAAAGAATGACTTGGGTATTTGGCAAACGTTTTCTCAAAAATCAATCAAGTGAGCCTTTTTCTTTGAAGAAAACAACTGAGCATATTTGTTGCTAATGACAAAATCTGAGCTTTCAAACAAAAATTAGAATTTTGGGAAAGTTGTATTCATTACTGTAAGCATAGCAGCTTCTCAATAGTTAGAGACTTATCCAGTGAGATGAATGTGAATTTTCAATATTGCATAACAAAATGTGTCATCATTTGGAACATCTACATAACTCATATTTTTCCAAATTACTGATTTGTGATGTTACAAAATCATAGATGGGTAAAAGATTCATTCAAAGTATAAGATAGTGCATTGAATTTCAATGTAACAGTACAAAAAGTTCATTGATATTGTTTCAAATTCCATGTTATAACTAACTATCAAGAAATTACAGATAAGTTTTGGTATGTTATCAAAAAAGAATAGCCACAATTATCTGAAAAGACTATTAAAATAATCCTCTCTTTTCCAACTGCATACCGGTATGAGAACATTTTTTTTATGTGCCCAAACAAAAGACAGAAGACAGTTAAGTCAGGAATTAAAGCAATTTGCAAATACGTAAATCGATGCCACTTTTTTGGACTAGGTTATTTTTTTCCAAAAATACAGTAATTTCTCATAAAAATGTTAACATATAATGCGTTTATTCTTGATATTTAATAAGTAAATATTTTAAGCTTCTCAATCAATTTCTATATGAAACCTGTAAACCTACCACATACAATGATAATAGTGTAATAAGAATAACAAAAACTAACATATATTGAGCACCTACTGTTCAGAGGTCAAGTGTTTAATTTATATTATCTATAATATTTACCACTTATGGTCAAAGTATTGTTCCATTGTAGAGATGAGGAAATGGAGGTAACAAGAAGTTCAACGGCTTGCAAAGTCATATAACTAGTAAAAAAAATAGTGTTTTCACTTCTTATAATTACTGTGTACATTTTTAAAATTTTGATTATCAAAATAAGCAATCAATTATGTATTAATTCATTTTGATTTTAATACCTAATATCCTAAAATATTTTTTTCAGAGACTACTGCAATGACCTTAAGATATCAGATAATAACACTGAATTTCTTTTAAATTTCAATGAGTTTATTGATAGAAAAACTCCAAACAACCCATCGTGTAAGTATGCATTAATTCAAAATAATGGTTTCACTATGGTTATATCCAAAGTGGTCAAATCTTGGTTCAGATTAGTTTGTTGGTATGCTGGTTTATTTGTTTACTTTATGAATATAATGGTAAAATGTAACAATTTAGTCCTTTATATAGTAAAGAAATTTTATTTCATTATTAAGTAAAATCAAATTTTCAAAGCCAGGTAATAGATACTTGCAAATGTTTAAATATGAATAGGATATGTTTACCTTTGCTCCTTTCAAATGTGAGAAACTTAATTTTGAATCTTTTGAAGGTTTTTTCATTGCATTGTTTTTGTTATATAGAAGAAAACATAACATTTTTATCAATTTATTTATATCCTCCAATTTATATAATAAGTTTTAATATGGATAGAATAAAAAGAAGATATAAATAAAGATATATCACTTAAGAGTATTTTCCTCTTGACATTTTATTTTGATCACAGTTAACTTTTTATCTTAAAAAAATGCTTCTGTAACTTCCCATTTTATGAAGTAAATCAAGTTGGAATAGATAAGAAATTTTAGTAATTAGTTTTTAACCATTATATTTGTTTTTCAAAGAAATTTGCATCATTCATACTATGAAACTTCATAGAGATTTATGGATTCTTGGCTTTTAAAATATTTGGAAACCTTAACTGTTTTTTCTTCTTAAAAATATCCTATGAAAGTACTGTCAGGAAAAAGTGCAGTGCAAATGGGAAATAGAGAGGAAAACCAGCTGCATGGCAAAAATTACCCTAGTAGATATAATTTGAAAAAAAAAGTATACGAAACTGACTTTTTGTTCCCCCTTTCTCCTTTCCTCCTCTTCCCTGCTCCCCCCACCTCCTCCTTCTCTTTTTCTTCCTTTTCTTTTATTTTTTAAAATTATTTTCCTTTCTATCAGGAAGGGTTAAACAAAGCACTTCCTCAGTTTTAAAAAGTGAAAATCCATTCTTAAAGCTGTCTCTCAAATTTAAGTTTATCTCATAAAAAGAAATAACTTCCTAGCACTTCTAACACGAATTAGCTACTATGAAAACCTGTCAGGGTAGATGAAGTCTACATTGATCACGCCTGAATATGCAGGATTCCAAACCTTTCGACTCAGTATGAGCTCACTCGGACTGAGCCAGAGCCTTTTCAGTGTTATTTTCTGTTCTTGTTTATTTCCAATTAGTAAGTAATAGGCATTCCCAAGAGAGAACAGAAATAATATTGAATATTTCTTTAGTTGAATGCCTTTAGGTCCTTTATACTTTATACTAGGAGAGTATAAATATGTTTAAACAAAATACTTTCAGTATAAGATCACTAATATCCATACTGTTGTTGTCTGTTCTCCTATCTCTTCCTTCATTTCACTTTGCCTTCTATCTGCCTCCCCTATGATCTAGTAGGAAATGTTTGAAGTGATTATATAACCATGTTAAGAGTTGAGATTTTATTGGATTTAATTATAAAAAAGAGCAATAGCTATAAAATAAATTATATTTTCCTCTGACAGTGTTTTATGTTACAGATTTTTCTCAATCATATTTTACTTCATGTGATCAAATAATACATAAAGCTAACTCTAAAAGTAAATATCAGTGATTGAAATCTGTGATCTAAATGGTTTTTTTTAAAGGAGTGTAGTCAAGTTTAATTTTGCTTTATGAAAGACTTAATCCATCAGTGAAACTATAATTCTAACCTAATATTTAATTTATTATCCTACCTACATGTTTACGCTATAGAATGGTTATCCTCTTCATATTCCCTTTTAGTTTCAAACTAATGTAAAAATGAGATATTGTTTGTGTGTGTGTGTAAAACGGTAAAGCTTAATACTGTTTAAGCTCTTTAAGCTAAACTGATAATCTGTTTATTGTATGTAATCAGCTGCAGGGGACATATTTCAAGACACATTTTAGACTTACAGCATAATGAAAATATGAATAAAATTATGAGATTACTTTCAATATTGATTTATATTACAAATTAGAATAATGGTCTAATTTATTTTGTTTTACCTAAAAGGATTTGAGACAATTAAATTATATCATTCATTTTCCAAAGACTATTTTTTAAAGTGATTCATTTTCTAAAATAATATAATAAAAAAGTTCCTAAAATGAATTGAAACGAAGTCTAAAATAATGGATTAAATTGATCCTTTAATCCTGGGTGAAAGATATATTAAATTAAAATAATTAAACCAACTAAAATGGGGCTGGCCTTGTGGCCTAGTGGTTAAGTTCGACGTGCTGTGCCTTGGTGGCCTGGGTTCGGTTCCTGGGCGTGGATCTACACCACTCGTCAGCGGCCATGCTGTGGTGGCGACCCACATACAAAATAGAGCAAGATTGGCACAGATTTAGCTCAGGGTGAATCATCCTCTGCAAAAAAACAAAAAACAAAAGATAAAAAACAAAACTCAACTGAAATTTTTCCAGCCTATCCTACCCCTACCTCATGTAGTAATAGAATATTAAGTGAGATCATATATTCCCTACCTACATAAAATGAAATTTTATCAGAAATATGAAATTTCAGAGGATACTTGTAGGTTATTCAGAGCTTCATGGGCTTAGCACAGAAAAGCCAGAAGAAAGTAATTTTGTTTAAGAATGTATATTAATTGACCTTTGGTCCACATCATCTATCTACTCCATTATCTTTGAACTTGGGCTGATATGCTCTTCAGTTATTCCAGAAATGACAAGCTGAAGCCTGTGCTCTTTCGCCAATACCAATAGATTCCAAAAGCCAGTCTTGGAATAGTGCTGGTCTATGTTATTTTATTCCTTGGCCAAAACAAACAAAAAAAGACTATATATATTACGTGGTTTTATATTATATATAAAATTGTCTATGAACTATTATGATGGTTTGGAATCTCCATACTAAACTACAAAAACAAAAGAAGAAGACTACTTCCTCATTCTTTCTTGATTGGCGTATTTCATGTATCTTTTTGATAAAGTTTTACAAAATAATTTAGAACTGGCTCTTGCACTACTACTTCTGTCCATATTCTGAAGTATGTGAGGCAAGATGAACAGTATAAAAAAATAGGCTGAAAATTAATATAGGATATATTTTTAAATTCATAGAAATATTATCCACTGTAAATTGCTTTTGGAAATAGAGAATATATTTGTCTCATTGTTATCCTAATTAAAAAACTATGTGGGTATAATTGACATTTTCCTTTTTCTGTGTTAGGTAACACGGATTTGATTAATAGAGTCTTGCTGGATGCAGGATTTACAAATGAACTTGTCCAAAATTACTGGAGTAAGCAGAAAAACATGTAAGTATTTGTTCTTATTAATAAAAAATATATATTCTGCATTTCAATTTAGCTTCTCTCTGGGAAATTTTTGTAAAATAGGTCTCATAAGATTAAAGTTTATTATTTATCTTTAAAACAGTTTCTTGAGAAAATCATCTTGCAATTGTTGACAACTTGCATTTTCAGTTGTGGGTGTGTGTCAGGACTAACATCTGCCATTAGTCAACTTTACAGGTATATACACTACAGTGTGAATAAACCAAATTAAATAGACATTTGTGTTTCAGTATTTGTGGTGAAGTGGGGTTTCTAGTGAATGTGCAGTTGGCTTTCTAATAGCTCTACCATATACCCAGTCAAGAAACTAAGAAATCTGACTATGATTCTCATGTACAGTCTCTTCTCCACCCCATTTCCAATCAATTACCGAATGCTAAATATTTCTTCTAACAATGTTTTTCTTCTTCATACTCAAGGTCACAATTTTCCATTTCTCAGAAATCAGCAACTGATTTTTATGCCTTTAGTGCTTCCCATTCCTCTACCTACAGCCCCCAGTTTATTCTCCATACAACTCATACTTACCAGAATCTTCCTTTTAAAATGCAGTTCTAATTTCAGGATAAAGGTGAAGTTCTCCACCATAGATTTCCAGATCATTCACGAGCTGACCATTCATAAGAAACTTGTACTTGAAACTTTCCTTCCTATTGTTTCTCACCTTGTACCTATGCTTTTATTACGCCAAATACTATCACCCTTCATTAGTTTTCCCTTACACATACTCCTCCCTCTACACGCAGTGTTTTCCTGCTTTCTGTCAACTGTATTAACTCCTATTCCATCTTCAAAATACAGCTATACCACTATTTCCTATGAGATGTCTTCCTTAAACATCCTCCCTTTATTTACTTATTTCTTAGATATTTTAACTATTAAATCATAGTTTGTATCTATTGATATATTTACTTTGGCCTCCTTTATTTTAGAAACTCATTTTATTTCTCTTGGTATCACCAACACCTAAATTAATATCTTACAAAGAGTAAGTTAAATAAAAAATTTCCTTCATCTGTCTTCTGTTCCAGCAAGGGAGTGAAAGCGCGGTTTGTTGTGACTGATGGTGGGATTACCAGAGTTTATCCCAAAGAGTAAGTTCAAATGACGTCTGTAAAAATCAGTACATTACAAAAGATTACCCTAACGATCTGTACTTTACTGTCTAAGGAAGCCATTCTTAAGAGAAACTGATCATTATTAGTAGATTAAATTGGAGTTGTTTAAAGTACTTAACATTATTAAAATACTCCATTTCTTTAAAAAATGCTATTATATGATTCTTCAGTGATATTTTTGCTTATCACACATATTACAAAATTTAAGATATTGTTCTCTTTGTAGACATAAGCTGACCTAGTTAAATGAACATAATGGTTATATAGCCTATTGGCAATATTTGCGTAGCACTCCATTGTTTTTACTGGATCTTATCTCTGTTTATCTTCAAACAGCCCATACGGTGGGCTAGGTAGGCTTATTAATATTGACTTATTAACTGACTTGTCCATAATTACCTGGCTAGTAAATGGCAGAGTAAAACTACGAGTCAGCTTTTTCTGATCCTTAGTATAATTCTGTGCTGATGAATTGCTTAGTAATGAGTATGATTTACACCCTCAATTACCACTAACTTCCTTAGACATACCCAAGATGTAGACATATGTGTAAAGTTCGGTGACGTCCACAAAGGGAAAAGTAGGTTATCAGGTAGATTGAAGAATAAAAATGATGAGCCATTTCCTCCCTAGGGCTGGAGAAAATTGGCAAGAAAACCCAGAAACATACGAGGACAGCTTCTATAAAAGGAGTCTTGATAATGATAACTATGTTTTCACTGCTCCCTACTTTAACAGTAAGTATTACTTTGGAATTCAGCCTTCTCAATTCCTTTTTTTTAAAAAAAATAAATTATTGCTACTACCTGCTTTCCCCTAAAACAATATATTTTAAGTTAATTTCTCAGAATAGTCATTATTAAGCATATACTATATGCATGACATTGGAAAGACAGAAGCATCCATTTAGTTGAGAAGGTAAAATGTACACACAGGAAACAGTCATTCAGTAATGTAGAGGCAGCATATCTAAAAGCATACATAATACATAGAAACACGTGTAGATAATCCCTTATTTCACAAACTGCAAATATATTGAAGAATGTTTAATAAATTTTTAAAAATATAATTAATCAGTTTACTCCACTTTTAATCAGTTTTAGTGAAATGTATTATTTATAAAAATTAATAATAGCCCATATTTTAAAATATTTTGTTGGGTTCCTTCCTCAAAACTTTCTAAGTTAATCCCTCAACCTCTCTCTGAGAGTAGATATTATTTACGCTCAGTTTCACAAATGGGGAAGCTGAAGTTCAGAGAATTTTAGAGTTTTGTCCAGGACAAATACATCTTCTAAAATGCAAAGGCAGTTTTGGGAATCTGAGATCAATCTTTCCACTTCGCTTCAGCAGCCTGCCCTATATTTTAGCAAATGTCATGAAACTGAGATTAGGCATACATCCATTAGATTGTGGAATTAGTTGCAGCCAAGATGAATAATTCACATCCCAAAGTCAATTAATGCAAACTAATTCATGGACACTCCAATTAGCCTGGTATACAGAGGAAGAAGAGGGAAGAGGAGACCACACGCTTCTTTATAACATATCTATGCTAGAATATTTAAGCAAAACACTATCTACTTGTACCTATTAAAAGAAATTCAAGGGGCCAGCCCGGTGGCATAGTGGTTAAGTTCATGCACTCTGCTGTGTTGGTCCAGGGTTCGCCAGTTCAGATCCCAGGCATGGACCTACACATTGCTCATCAAGCCATGCTATGGTGGTGTCCCACATACAAAATAGAGGAAGATTGGCACAGATGTTAGCTCAGGGACAATCTTCCTCAAGCAAAAAGAGGAAGATTGGCAATAGATGTTAGATCAGGGCCAATCTTCCTCACCAAAAAAAAAGAAAGAAAGAAAGAAAGAAATTCATTATTTGATTTATCTATATAGGTCTGTTTTTCATTTTTTTTTTTAGAAAGTGGACCTGGTGCTTATGAATCAGGCATTATGGTAAGCAAAGCTGTAGAAATATATATCCAAGGGAAACTTCTTAAACCTGCAGGTAAGCATATATATATTGTACACATGCACATGACCAAAATTAAATGTGACCTAATATTTATGTTAAAAACTGGCAATGCTTATCAGGAAGGCCATCAGAAAGCTTCAGCCAAAATAAAGTCAGATGCAAATTTTTAAAATTACAATTAGTTAACTATGAGATTGAGGTAAAATAAAATTGATACTTAATAGAGTTGAGGAATTTTCAAAGTGCTATGTTTATACAGTGTTGTCACAAACTTTTGGAGTCAATTTAGTGTCATATTTTAAATGCTGGATTGATCCAGCAATTGCACTCTAGAAGCCTATCCTACAAGATACTTTCAAATACACTGAAGGGTATACGGCCAAGGGTGTGAATATTTGTAATAATTTAAAAATGGAAAGTTAAGTTTCCATCATTGGGGGAAAAGATAAATTATGGCATATCTATACTATGTGTCTGTTAAAAAGAATTACATAGGAATCTATTTTAAAAAAACAACAATAAAATAGAAAAATGACTTTTTTGGTAAAGTGAAACAAATCAAACAAAACAAAACAAATCGTAAAACAGAGAGAGCATCAATGGGAATTGGAAGTAGGCTGGAATGAGTGGATACAAATAAAGTAAAAATTATGATTTTGTTATTGTATGATTCAGTGTTGTTTGAATTTTTAAAAGATCATATATTAGGCCAGATTGAGAAAGTAGATAAATTGTCATGCTGCTCCTGAGGGCAGTTTTACCCCTCAGTGGTTCAACTACATGGATTTCCTCCATCACTTACTAATTTATTCACCCTTTTCTTCATTCACTCAATTGCTGACTTACTCACTTATTCTCTCAGTTGCTCATTCATTCGCCCACTCTCCCAACCACTCATCTATGTACTCTTCAACAAACATTTCTTAAACTGCATGCGCTGGTCGAGTTAGGGAAGCCTCTTAAAATATTCCACTGAATGACCTCATATTTATAAGGCTATTCCTGTCACTATGACTTTTTTTAGCTTACTATCTGTATTTGTCAACTGGCCAGGTTGTGGCAAATGAGTAAATTGTTTTGGTTATAAATGAAGTTTATGTAATATTTTAAGAGCTATTAGCATTACTTCTTAATGAAAACCTCAAGAAACATATCTCTGTAATAAACATTATATTCAACCCAAATTTAATGCTATTATATGTTACCTAAATTATCATGTAGCAAATACTATATTGGAGCTAACTAAAACTGCAGCCTTTTAAATTAATTTGAATCAACTTTTCAATGTCTTTTTTTAATCTCAAGAAACTTACATTTGCTTACTCAGGAATTTTCAAATGTGACAGGAAAAATAGATATGTAAGATCATAACTACACTTTTTAAATGTATGTGTCAATTTTTCTTACGTACTTTTTCAGTCGTTGGAATTAAAATTGATGTAAATTCTTGGATAGAGAATTTCACCAAAACATCAATCCGGGATCCGGTAAGATAATTTTTTAAAAACAATTCTTAGCTACACTTAAAAATCTCAAATGCAAATGGGAAAAGTAAAAGTAAAGTCTTACACAGTGGCAAAATAAATTTTCAGTGCCACTACAGTGAAGCATAATTATGAATTCCTGTTTTTTAAAGATTTTTTGTTTAAAATAGTAAATTAATAAATAATAAAAAGAAAAATATTTCAATATTATAATTAGAAATGCTAGTTTAGATATCTATTAATTGATATTCTAATTTTAAAGATAAAAGTATTACCTTTTTTTATTAAGGACTAGACTGTCATTTGTTCTTTTATACTCAAAAAATTAGTCTAAGTTTTCTAATTGTTACATGGTAATAATTAATACAATATAATTAAAATCCAATTTTTTAGAAAATGTGAAGTGATAATTGTACTTTTGTGTTTCAGTGTGCTGGTCCAGTTTGTGACTGCAAAAGAAATAGTGATGTAAGAAAACTCTTTAAAATAAAATTAACTATAATTTTTTCTTGTGTTACTCTTGCTAAGACTTCAATGATAAAAAATATATAGGAATTTTTAATCAAATGCTAAAAGAAATTATTCTATGGCATTTTGAACTAATTCATAGATAAGAGTTTGAATTATATGCTTTTAATTCCTAACCTTAAAGGCTTGTATTTAAAAAAAATATTCATATATTATGGGAAGGTATAAAAAAGCCATATCAATATGGACTATATTCTCTTCAATCTCAATTGTCTTAGATTCTTTTGTACATGTTTATCTTTAGCTCTGTTCCTGGATGGGAAGTTTCTAATCAAAGCAGTGGTTATCAGTGCAGTCTTCCCTCATCTTTTGTACTTTCTCTGAATTAATTCACACTGTATTTATAGTGATGAGATATTTAGTGATGAGAAAATTTTTGTAACTAAACCTTGGAATGATATAATTTATTATACAGTTTCATTTACATGGATTGGATTTTGAATTGCCTTCTATTTCTATTTCTGTTTGAGAAATGGAAAAAGCAAATGTGAATTTTTTTGTTCAAAAGATGAAGATGCTGGGCCGGCCCCGTGGCTTAGCGGTTAAGTGCGTGCGCTCCGATGCAGGCGGCCCGGGTTCGGATCCCGGGCGCGCACAGACGCACTGCTTCTCCAGCCATGCTGAGGCCGCGTCCCACATACAGCAACTAGAAGAATGTGCAACTATGACATACAACTATCGCCTGGGGCTTTAGGGGAAAAATAAATAAATAAAAAAAAATTAAAAAAAAAAAAAAAGATGAAGATGCTCTAAGAATCATACTAGATAAATTCTAAGAATGAACAAGAAGGATGAATTCCGCTATTTTCTTCCAATCTTTTTATATGTGTGTACATATTTCCAAGGGAGGTAGGGAGTTCATATTATTTTTTTATCACCTCTAGTTGTTCAAAATTATAAGCCAATAATTTTAATTCTTTTTATAGTTTATCCATTTTACATAGACTACGTAAACATAGTGTTTTTAGAGCAAAGGTTTTAGCGAGCTGCTTCCACATTAGGAAAATGGAATGCATATGTCCCCAACGCTGAAAACAATGTTCTTAGTTGTGATTTTATACAATAAAAATTATTAAATTGATTCATGCATTTAAACATGATTTAAACTGGGTGGGAATTTATTCTTTATTTCAGGATGAATGATTTTTTTCCCCATGCACAGGCATTTTTTTGTTTTGCTTTCTGCTTTGAGATTTCAAATTATCCAACCAAACATTTTTAATATAAAATATAAAATAGTTACATATATCCTCATTCTGCTGCTTTTTTTTTTTTTTTTTAGTCTGAAGCATGGTGACTAAAACGTATTTTTAAAAATATCTTTCTTATCAAAATCTTAAGTATGTGTTTAAAACAATAAAATAACTATATGTTACTAAATATTTTGGTCTATAGAATTTCCTGGATCATTTAGTTGACCTTAGAGTGGCAACTAAAGATTATTTGTGGCTTGTTCTTATGATTTGTTCGGACTGAGTTGGCAGGTTTAACTGGATGAATGGTGGTGGAATATCCAGCCCTGAGGATTTGATATGAATCTACACATGCCCTTCATTTATTTCATCAGAATCTCTTGAACATATATATTCAAAAGAAGATATAGTCATTTGAATATTTCTCCTAATTTTGTTGTTATAATCATCTACATGTAATGGAGTAATGATAATGCAGCCTTCTCACCTTCCTAAAAATTATGTGTTAATTTTAAAAAATTAATCTCACCTTCCTAAAAATTATGTGTTAAAAATGTGTTAATTTTATGTTTATAGGTAATGGATTGTGTGATTCTAGATGATGGTGGGTTTCTTTTGATGGCAAATCATGATGATTATACTAACCAGGTATGTACCTAAAGTGGGAGAGAAGCACCGTTACCAAAGTGTGTTTCCCTGATCAACATTACAAAACTCCTTCAAACCATTACAGAGATTGATGAGTTGTTTTATTTCTGTCATAAAATAAATTTTAAAGTGCCAAATACCGTATAAACCATTAAGAAATGCATCCTAAATCTAGTTTTTCCTGATGTTTGTTAGTTGAGTTTACTTTCTGATACTAACAGTTACCAGTAACCATAGAGTGAAGAATTTTAACATGATATGAACTTTTTATTTTTGATCTCTCAGTTTCACATATTAATTAATTGGTAATGTCTGACTTAATACATGGCTGATTTGAAACTGATGAAGTTTCTAGTCCCAGATTTACAGATTGGCAGCACATAGGCCATTTGGCTCACACGGGATTTTAAACAAATTAGAATTAGTTGCCAACTAATTTCACTTCTGAATCTCCATTTCTGGCTTCTCTTTAAAAAAAAGAAAGAAAAGACGTCTTAACACTGACCTTTATCCTGACAATGTTTATGGGCTGGAGTTGATTAGCCTAGAGGTTGCCCCTTTAGATGAGACTGAGTACAGGTCGTCACAGTCCCTGTAAGTTCCTTTTCTTTTTCTAGTCCCACCCATTTTTCTCATTTGTGCTACTTTTCTCTTCCTCAGGAGGCATTTGATTATGACCTTAATGCTTGGTAAACTATCTGTTCCTTCCACAAATATCACACAGAGCCTTTGAGTAATGAAAACACCTAATCTCCTTTGAGTTCCTTTGGAGTGGCACATACACGTTTATTACTTGCTCCTGAGTGGTTTTAGTTCACCAGTTTCTTTGTATTATTTCTTTTCATTGTGCTGGTTCAGGTGTTAATATTTGGCTTAAATTTGAAACTTTATTATCTTTTTCTGTGCCAGATTGGAAGATTTTTTGGAGAGATTGATCCAAGTTTGATGAGACACCTGGTTAATATATCAGTTTATGCTTTCAACAAATCTTATGATTATCAGTCAGTGTGTGAACCCGGAGCTCCACCAAAACAAGGAGCAGGGCATCGCTCGGCATATGTGGTCAGTAATATCCAACTCATCCCTTCCTCTCAAAGGGACACTCAGTGTAGACTAATGTAATGGCTTTTTTATTATATTTTATAGCCATCAATAGCAGACATATTACACATTGGCTGGTGGGCCACGGCTGCTGCCTGGTAAGTTAAAATGGTAGTTTTATTGGTAATGAGAGAAAGGTGTTGTGAAATAGTAAAGAATTTGATGAAAATATCAATTTTGTGACATGTAAATAATTATTCTTGGAGTTACTTTTTTTCATTTCCCATAGCACATATCCATAATATTTATACATAGTTTTTCTTAAGTGGTCACTGTGAAACTGTTACAATTATTCAGTTTTTCATGTGAAAACAATGTTATGCTCATGCAAACTTCAGGCTTCCTTTTTCTATGGATCTGCTTAAACTCTTTTTGTGTTTTTTTAAATATTATACTCAATTCCTTAAATTTAGGTGTACTGATCTATAAGAATTTACTGTTTGTTGCCTTCAGTATCCAAATTAGATGTCTTCGATCGAATTCAGGACATGATGACTTATCTTTCTATCTCCTTACTATTCATTCATACAAAGGCTGGCATAGTTTTAGAGGCATCCCCCTGCAAGGGATCTAATTCTTTCTTTTCACTGATTCTACTCTTCCTACCTCCTTTACCCCCTCACCTATAGCCTGCTACCTATAAAAATAAGACATTTAAACTGTTCATTGAGGCACAGTGCATAGTCTGGAAGATCAGATTTGCCATTGTTTGGTTCTGGTCAGTCAAGTAACCAAAGCTCCTGTTGTGTCTGGGATCCATTCTCTCGCCCCACCTTTGCCCTCCCTCCCTGCCACCCTCTCTTTCCTCCTTCCTTCCTTTCTTTTGTATCATTATCCTACTGTATTGTCCAAGCTTTATTCTCTAGAGATTAATCTATAACATTTGATGTTGAGGCTTTTAGCTAATCAGCTAAAATTAATGATTATACCATTTTATTAAAGTAGCAAAGATTTTAGATTAAAAATCTTATTTTTTCTGAAAAAAATTGTTAAAAATGGTGCTTTCTGTAGTGACAATGATATTTATATGTTAATTTACATAGGTTTCCTAAATCTCATAGTAATCCTGAAATATTTGATTTTCTTTATGCCATTTTCTGGCCAGAATATCCCTCCTCCCCAACCACCCCTTGCCTTTTTTTTTTCCCATAACTCAGTTCCAGATGATTTTATACTAATATTTGGCTCAATTGTCATTTATTATGAAACTGAAATGTACCATATGCCCTATATCTACGTATATTTTATTACATGAATATCACGTTGTATATTTACATATATATTCCATATTGTAAAGTAAACAGTTTGCAAAACCATGGCACAGAGTCATTTTGTTTCCATCACAGAATTTTAAAAACTAAAATAAGGAGAAAATCCTTAATGTGAAACCTATGTACTGAAATATTAACATTCTCCCTCTTAGAGTTACCACTTCTTCACACTGTCATTACATATTAGGCCTCTTCACACATGTGTCCCTCCCTCTCTTGGTCCTGAACAAATCTGACTTCATAACTTCTTTTACAGAAAAAAATTTACAACGTTTTGTATAATTTAAGAAATACTTATATAAAAATGCTCCTAAACTTTCTATTAGCAAATTCTCAATTTTTTCCAAAAAGATGAAAAAGAAATATGTGTTTATGTGTACATGCAAAAATACTCAGGTTTTTATTATATAATTTATAATGGAAAATATCTAGATTTTTATCAATAATTATTCATATTTAAAATCCAGGTCTATCCTACAGCAACTTCTCTTGAGTTTGACCTTTCCACGACTTCTTGAGGCAGGTATGTAAATGCTCAGATATTGTCATAATAACCATCAAAGTTTTCTTTTTGGATGTGCTGAGTTCAACAAACTCAGAGAGAAAGTGTGTGTTTGTGTGTGAGAGAGAGAAAGAGATCGCTTTTGTAGGTTGAAATCATTTTTGTCAAAACTTTCCTAATGCTTTAGAAACTTTTCTAGGTCACATTGGCCCCTATTGTGTAGTTGTTATGTATTTGAATTAATTTTTTATTGATTTTTGTTGATATTTATTGGGGACCTATTAGGGCTGCCACTATATTACATAGCAGTAAACTAGCCCATCAAGACACCTGCTCTTATGCATTTGTTTTGCCCCATGAGAAATGAAGGTTCTGGGGGATTGACTATAGTGTCTTCTCATAATGATGGCCTTTGTTTTCCCCACAGTTGAAATGGAAGACGACGATTTTACAGCCTCTCTGTCAAAGCAGAGTTGCATTACTGAGCAAACCCAGTATTTCTTCGATAATGATAGTAAATCATTCAGTGGTGTATTAGACTGTGGAAACTGTTCCAGGTAATTTTTTTCTACATTTATGGACTAGTCTTATTTCACTAAAAAATTGTATTCACTTTTATAATCATTACAGAAATAATGGAGATTGTTGTTCAAGACTGAGAGATACGAGTAACTGTTTTAAGCTGAAAACATCAGAAATACTCAGTTTCTGTGTAGGTTTTTAAAATTTACAATTTTTTAAATTAATTCTAACTTTGATAAGTTGTAAGCCCTTCAACTATAATAATAATTATATGACCACAATAATTGCGCCCACTTTTAGGCAGACGTAAAGAAATTCGATTATATTTTAATGTATTTTTTGTCTAAAAGAACCCATACTAAAAACTTTATAATATAGAGAAAGTTGATTAGAGTTAATTATATTAATAATTGAGTTAATTATATTAATAATTCTAATTCTAAGTCAAATATATTATTTCTTTTTACCTATGGTCACTAAACAGGTTTTCAAAAAGATGTTCTATGGGGGAGAGAGTTGTTTTACTCCTAGTCTTCAGTAAATTTAGAGTTGTATGTATCTTTTATTTGAAACTGAAAGGACTAAGAGAAGAATATCATTTCCTAAGGTCAGGGTTAATGTTACTCATCAGTGTCGATAAAACATCTTGAAAACTTTTTGGAAGAGATGGAGAATTTAATTTGGTTGTGATGGGACAGAGAAGAAAGGCAAGTTGGAGATTTTTAAAGTTTTGAGAGGAAAATAAAATCCATGTCACAGGATCCTTGAGAATGGAGCAGAAAGTCACACTTTCAAAGGCACAGAGTTGGGACACTTTGTTTTTAGTGACTGAGGGCAGGTTATTCTAGAAGAAATGTTAACATAGAGAAGGGGAAATATGAGGAGGTGAGATAATCTGAGGAGGTGAGATAATCTGAGCAGGTGACAGGGCTGGAATAGTTAGTTGCTAGGGGATTCAGGAAAGAACTTTATAACAATTCAAAAAAATATTTTCAGGGGGCTGGCCCAGTGGCATAGTGGTTAAGTTCAGTGCACTCCGCTTTGGTGGCTCAGGTTTGCAGGTTCAATCCTGGGCATGGACCTACACCACTCATCAAGCCATGCTGTGGAGGCATCCCATACACAAAATAGAGGAAGATGGGCACAGATCTTAGCTCACAGACAATCTTCCTCAAGCAAAAAGAGGAAGATGGGCAAGAGGTGTTAGCTCAGGGCCAACCTTCCTCACCAAAAAAAAAGGAAAAGAAAAATTTCAGGATGGGGTTAACCGAAACTAGCATGAATTTTTAATAGACACAATCAGTATGCTTTTTTGACTTATGCAAACCTCTATGTCCTAAGAGGAGTTAGAGGGTATGACAATGAGAGGAAAGGGGAGGAGTCAGGCATGAACTCAGAAAAAAACAGACCGTCTCGTTTGGAGATGAGCCTGTCACGCTATCAACTTCAGGAAACAGAATTGTAGCATGTTTAATGGGTATGTGAAAAAGAATTTCAGAGTCCTCGGGCCTTTCATTAACAGATGTCCAGTAATAGCAAAATTAAATTGTAATGTGAAGATCAATATAATCAAGATATTAACTTGAATCATGGCTTCTTTTGATTTGCTTTATGCTGTGTCCCAAGTTCAATGAGGAAAAGAGAACGAAAATCCCACTTCTTTGAAAATGTATAATCATAAAGAAATTACTTTCTCATGATAGATTTACATTTTTATCTTGGTTGCTAAAGGAGGCAGAGCAGCATGACATGTGGAAAAAACACTTCATGGAATTTAAAGCCCTTGATTCTGTCTATATCTCTGTTGTCCAACTCAGTTGTTAGCAGCCACAGGTGGCTATTTCAATTATCAACTGCAATTAATTAATATTAAAACTTTGTGCCTCAGTCACACTGGTCACATTTCAGATGCTCAGTAGCCATAGGTGGTTATTTTTTACCATATTCGACAAAGCAGAAGACATTTCCATCTTCACAGAAAGTTTGTTGAACAGCATTGATCTAGACTTGACTGTCTCCTTCGCTTGGGCAAGATGCTTAGCCATTTTTGTGTTCCTAGTTTTCTTATCTATAAAATAAGGCAACTTTGGCATACTTTCAGTGATAAATACCACAAATCCTTAAACATGTAAAATAAAACACTTTTTCTATGAGTTTCAACAACTAAATAATACTTATTTTGCATTGAGGACTAACACTTAAAAAACAAAGGTCACACTTAAAACATCTGTTGCAAATTTTCGTATTCATTTGAGAGAGGTCATATGTGCATGCTAATAAATGGTAAAACATGATAATCTTTGTTTTCTAAAATCCTTCTCATTCTGTTTTATTGTTTGTGTTGGTGATTCTTTGTGTTTCAAGATGTCATATTTTATCTTTCATTTTAATAAGAAAGATTTTTATTCTTTTCCCAAAAGATAATGTTCATTTTCTGTAATTTTTAAATATTTATTTTTCAGAATCTTTCATGTAGAAAAACTTATGAACACCAACTTAATATTCATAATGGTGGAGAGCAAAGGGACTTGTCCCTGTGACACACGACAGCTCATACAAGCAGAGCAGCCTTGTATCCTTTGACAGCAAGATGTTTGGAACAGAAAGCCATCTTACAGCAATGCATTTTTAACTTTGTCACATTGTTCATGCTCATCAAGAGAAAAATATTATAGAGTGCTACAGTCACCTCACAGAGGCAGAAAAGATCCCTCACGCAAAATTTGGTTTGGATGTCAAGACTGATGATGCTACACATGCACCAAGAGAGTGTGAAAGGTTTTTTTACTTGCGTAATGAGGCTTTGTGGAAAGAGCAGTGCAGGCTCCCAAGTAGATCTGAAAATGGCTTGAGAGAGCAGGGAGGAACAACTGGCTTGGAGTTTTCAATGTGGTTAGGGATTAGTGCTGAGTTTTTGCCTATGCTGTCTGGGGCTTATGTGGCTTGAACTTCGAGGCAGTGCCAAATAAATGAGCACTCAGTTTTCCCTATCAGGTTGCCCAGAAGTGGGGCAAACGGGAAAAGGGAGTAATGTAGCTTGAAAGCTGTCAACAGTCAATCATCAAAAAATGGATTTGGCTGTGGTATATGCCTACAATGGAATACTATTCAGCCTTAAAAAAGAAGGAAATCCTGTCATATGTTACAACTGCAATGGCAGTAACACTAAAACTACTTCTGGTGGTAAATATGCTAAATGACAATGCAATGACTATTAAAGCATTGTAGGCAGAGGCTCTGTGGAATGGCTGTAATTTTTGCATTTACCCATGTGTTTCTGGGAAAAAAAATAGTCTTTTCACCTATGTTTGGAATTGATGTTTGTTATTACAGATTAGTTTATATTTCTGTCTCACTAAATAGGAGGCACCTTGGTACTCTCTTATGCTATGTTTTACATCTATGCCCCTGTCTTATACTCTGCATCATTTGTGCATTTCATCCATTAATATTCTACAGATATTTATTGAGTACCTCTTGTGTGCCAGGGACCATGCTATGTACAGTAAAAATGAAAAAGTTGATTTCATACAGTCTAACAAGGGAAAATTTGTGGCAATTTAGTTTCTTAAATTCCTAAGTGCTTGAACTGCTTGTGTTGGACTAGAGTAATGGCATAGGTATCTCTTGCTGGCTTTGGGAAATAAATATATTGCATTGTATTTTTTTAATGTTGTGAAAAAAAAGTAACTTTATATTCCTTAACAAGTTTCTTTAGCTGATGGTCCAGATCCCTGTGATATGGTTAAGCAACCCCGATATCGAAAAGGGCCTGATGTCTGCTTTGATAACAACGTCCTGGTAAGACCAAAGGTTTACTTTATTAAAATACTATAACTCAATGGTCATTGTCCAGAAGAATTTAAGGAGAAAAATTGCAATTTTAAGTCAAACATAATGTCTTAATCATAGTATATCTCATTAACATGATGTACTTGCTGGTAGGTAGATTTTTCATTTCAATATTTTTCATGGTTAGCATAAGCTTAACAGTTGCTTCTTCTATCTGTCCTTCTCATAGAAATTGTACTTCCAAACACAATTTCAATCAATTTACCAATAATCTAAGGTCACAAATCTGATGATTTAAAGACTTTATATTAACAGTAAATGTTATTTACTCATATACATGAGTTGCCTATCTTCATTATAATCGAATCCTAAAAATATGTTATTTTTATTATAATCTTTTTACTAGTTTGTGTTTAGTCCTTATTCAGTGTACTTAAAAACCTGTTAGACATCTATTGTCCTATTATTTCTTAATTTTTTACATGGTTTCTGATTCTATCGCACAGATTTGTATTATTTCTCTTAATGGCTTATTTTATTAACCATTTATTAACTTAAATGGTTTATTAACTTATTTTTATTTTGTTTGAAATTAAACCAGGTCAATTACACAGGGTTAAGTTGACAAAATTTCACAAAGCATATTTTACCTACACAATGTATATTGTGTACAATATACCTACCTACGATACACAATGTATATTACCTAAAGATGACTACTACTTTTCATATAGGTCAGCTGTCTTCTTCTAATAAATACTATGCTGATTTACTGTGTATGTAATCAGCTTTATGCTTTTAAAATTATTTTAATTATTAAGAAACTTTATTATCCAACAAAAATGCCACATAAAAATTTCTGCCCACTTTTTTTTTTCTTGCTGAGGAAGATTTGCCCTGAGCTAACATCCACTGCCAGTCTTCCTCTTTTTGTATGCGAGCAGCCACAGCGTGGCCACTGACAGATGAGTGGTGTAGGTCCATACCCGGGAACCAAACCTGGGCCGCCAAAGTGGAGCGTACCAAACTTAACCACTAGGACGCTGGGGCTGGCCCTCCACTTTTTAAAACTATGGTTTAAATATAGTATTCTCCAATTCTGATTCTTCAAGGAATGCCTTTGCATTAAGTGGCTTACACAAACCAGTGAGCATACAAACATAAAGCATTATCATCTTATGCATTGTTTATTCTAAAGACATGTCAGATCATCTATTGATTAATGTGCATTTATAGAGCTCTTTATTTATTTAGAATACACTTACCTACTATGTACTTATTTACTCAAATACACAACCTACATTTGTCACAGAAAAAATAAAGCATTTCCTTAGATACATATTATGCAATTAGGTAATATAAATTAGAAGTGGAGCAAAGAAAAAATAAAATCAGTGATGGGGAACAGGGCTGAAAAAGCAAGATGTTTTAGCTGGTAAATTCTAGTTATCTCTGTGAGGACTATTGATCATTCTTCTTTGATTGGGAAAGTGATTCAAAGTTGCAGCTACATTGTCTTTTTTTTTTTTTTTTTTTCTGTTTTACCCAGTTAGACTTAAATAAAATCCAGATATGAGGACTTCTGTTGTTCTATCTACCATACCTTTGGAAGCTTTGCCTATGTCAAATCATTCCCTAAAGGTAGTGTCTCTCAGTGGGGAAACTTCATCCATCAACTATTTGTCACCAAAGACTGAGATTAAATTCACTCAGATGAATTTTAAAGATCATATAAAAACCCTATTACCCATAATAATAGTCTCCTCGAGTCACCCTAAGAGACTCTATCTTTTGATCAAAACGTAAAAAGATGAATAAGACAAAAATTTCCAACAATTCCTATAAATTATACAGTAGATTGTGTGTGAAAGTACAACTCTTGCTCAGTAGCTTACTGTGCTAGTAATGTCTTGTGTTTCTTTAGCAGTGGAATATTTCGGTAATGCTTATTTGCACTGGTCACTGTGAATCTACTCTGGATGGAGGCTCACATAAACTGCTAACTGCCAGCAAATTGCATGAAATCTCATCTTGTATGTCTTCTTTTCTGTGTTTTCTTTCCTTTTCCTGTACTTGCTACTTTGCCCGTTATTAATAGGATCAACTTATATGCACAACGAGTCGTGCCTGTGCCATGATGTCAGCTCCTATCTTCATTTTACTGCAAGTTTTCATATGGTGTGGATGGTCAGTCACTTTCTCTAATTTTTCTTTGTTTTTGTTTTTGGCTTGAAATTTTAAAAAATAATCCATATCTTTAAATCCAGTGTAATAAAGGTCCTCAAACCAAGTTATTAAAATCCTAGTACTAGTGTCGTTTTAAAAAGAGCTGATTTCAAATGTTGACTAAGTTTCTGATCCTCAACAGAGCATATCAGTTTTCTATTTATTTAAAAATCAGAATTTTCTCAATAGGTTTTGCATAAAGAGTAAGTCAATGTGGAAAAAAATTATACATGCTTCATGATGTCTTACTTTTACTAAAGACAAATACCCTAAGGACAATTATTAGAGCTGGTCATCTCAATTTATTTTCAAAAAATATTAACATAAAATCAATGAACCATTTCAACTATATCATGCATTATTTAAGAACTTATAAGTCAATCATTCTAATTTTTCTTTTCGTTTTTAACAAACATGGTTTAAACATTTAAAATTTTTACTCCCAAAATACTGATATTTTTATTGAAATATTTTATTATAAGTACTTCCAATTTCTAAGTTTATTTAATATTACTTACATTCTCTGGGCCAAAATTAATCATTATTTATTAGCCTTTTGACAAGTTTCTGGGTTATATAATCAATACTACTAAATAGATGTTTTAGAGCCTGAGTTTGTGTTTCATTTACAGTTTTGCAATTTCTTTTCTGATGCTTTAGAATTATCATGATTGTTGTTACCAGAGCAACTTCTGTTGTGTTCTTTCTTCATTGCTATCCAGGTATTCGTTGATTAGGAAACCACTAGATGGAGATGTGGTCATTACTAAATGGAGTGAGCTCATCAGAGGGGGGGGAAACGTGGAGTAGAACGAGGAGTCTCAGAAAATAACCAAATTTGTTCAGGGATAATAAAACAATGGTTTTCATAGCAAGATTCCAAGTAAAGGAAACCTGGCTGATTTTAATAGTTAAAATAAAAGACCAAAAATAAATAATCCCTCTCCATGGACATATTTTTTAAATTGATATATAAGAAGCTATTTGAAATATCATTTTTATTGATCCCTTAAAGAATTGATACCTTAAAGAAGATTACATAGGTAATCACACCATTCACACATGAAAAGTATAATAAAATCATATTTTCTATACTTGGCCCTATTTGTGGTCATAATAGAAATGAGCAAACTAGTGCATAAGGGTAAAAAATTATTATGCTATATTTTATAGATGAGGAATAGTGTAAAAATTCACTATATTTTCACCTTTGATTCAAAAGTTTACTTCTCTCAAGCACAGAATTTTAGATAAGATTTATAGGTTATCAATTAGACTCAAAAATGTGTAAGTACTGCTTTTGAATAAGTCAACTTCCTTTTGAATAGGTCAGCTCCCTTTTTACCTTAACATTAAAACTCTATAGGTAACAATGAATTTAAAAAAATTTTTCATCTGAGACGCCCCCAAAAAATAGAATTTTGAATTTTCCTCTGATGATATCTTGCTTTCTCACCATAACTGTAAATTTACCAAGAAAATAAATAAATATCAACATAGACTGAACTGATGGGATCAATACCTTTTAATGAAATTATTTTTGAAAGATGAAAAGATCATCTCTGAGACTCCTTGATATTACTGTATCCTTGGGGAATATATAATGGATAGTCTTGAAGATGATGTAAATGGCATAGATGTTACATTAACAAGACTAGGGTTGGGTATTTAAAAACAGTTATCTGTATGGAACAGTGAATCCAGCCTATGCAATTTAATTGTTGATATGATAGCAAAGGAAGTATCATTTTCTCTGAAACAAGAGAAAGTTGAAAAAGTAACATAAAATATTACCAAAAATACTGAGAAGTTAGTTGGTGGTTTTTCCCCACATTGAGGACCATAAAGGTCAAAATCTAAGCCTCAATGTTAGTCTGGCTATAACTAGAAATTTGTGGTAGCTTAGATTCTGCTCACAGGAAAGCTGGGATGGTAGTGTCATCTCTAAAGTCTTCTAAAAGGTGATATCTCCCTAATCATTAAAGAATGACTGTCTAAAGCTAGGACCGTTGTACCCTGTGGAGTCCAAAGAGGATATATAGCTTATAAGTATCCAATTAGGAAGCCTCATACCATGAGGACTTCCTTAAAACACAAGTGTCCATATGATACCTTTTGACGAGAGCTTTTTAAAGACTTAAGTGGTAAAGAAGAACAAAACAAAAAGCTGAAGTTTGTTTATTTATCAAAGAAGAAAGTAAAGCAAGTCAATAATATGTACCATTGAGGAAGTTCATTATTTTATGCAAACTTAATTTATAAAAGCATGTTATTGGGTATGTTAAAAATGAATATGCAGAAATAAGTGTATGTATCTATGTGTGTGTATATATGCGCACATACACACACAAATAGTTGAACAAATATACTACCTACCTCATGAGTTAACATGGAAGTGTGTTACGGTGCTGTGTAGCAGAACAAATTATTTGTTAGCGATCTTATTCCTAGTAAAAGAGTTCCTGTGTAGTATCCACCTGCCTAAATAATTTTAAATATATATTTTCTTTGAAGCTGCCAAGGGTGACTTAAGTACAGAACTATCTAAATTCAAAAGTTAGCCCCTATTTGGTAAATGTCTTTACCAGTGATTTGCCTTTTGAAGGAAATTTAATGATGACTATAGTTCAGGAAGGAAAGTACAAAATCTTCTAAGCCAAATGACCAGAAAACTTTCTTTTGGGAAAATTTATTTCTAAATTTATTTGAATAAATTAAAAATTATTGAGCTCTTACTATGTACAATTAGTTGTTCCAGGTTCTGGTTGGGAAAAGAAAGGCAG